ATACTGGGCAGGGGTTACATGTACTGTACTGTATTGTCGGGGGCTGAAGAACGAACAGGCTAGAAATTTCACCAAGCACAGCACTCCAATGCATACTTGATGACTCAACTGTGCATAGACCACATAGTTCATGGAAATAAGAACGGTCTAGGCACGAGGCTGACCCCCCCTCCCCCAGTTCTTCGGCCACCCGAAGGTACTATACTGTGCTTGCTCACTACCATCAACTGGCCACGTGGGTCTTCCCTTGGAAGAGGGGAGAGAGATTCGGAAGCCATCTGGGAAAGATGACTCAGCTGGTCATTGAACCGTCCAACGGCTGACAATCCCCAAGTCCCCAAACTACGGGTGGGTTTGAATATGACTCGACCTATGGGCTGATGACAAGGTGCAGAAAAAGGATCGACGGCATCAGGGTATCCATCCTGGAATACAGCCGCATTACCCTAGTACAGCTGCCCTAACAACAACAACACCACTAGCAGCACAGTTCGTACCTACGCCGTTGGCTGCGTACAAGTTCTTGGCATCGTTTCTCAGCACCTGCTTGTAGATAGACAGCGTTCTCTGTTGGTGACGTAATTCCTGGGTGCAGTACAGCACACATACATGTACACACATATATACACACACACACACGTGCACACACACACATACACACGTACCCACGCACGTGCACACACGTGTACACACACACATATTCACAGGCATATAATTATGTACATGTGCAAAGAGAAAACAACGGTGATTATAAGGGGGAGACCCCATTTCGGCAAACACATAAGGTCTGTACTCCGGAACATTTCACTGCTCGAAAACGACGTATAAAAAATCCGTAGCGCCTCTACGGATTTCGGCACGAAAAATCGTACTCCGGAACCTCTCTACTGTACCAAAAAAGACAAGCCCTGGAACCATATGCACTTGATCCTCCTCCTGCAAAATGAAGCAATACAATTTTCGCCATCTTACCTCAAGATTGGAGTTGAACATTCTTGTTTATGTACTCTTCCTATCACTTTACACGGACTTCTTTCAAGTCTGCCCACCTGAATGTCTGTCTTTCGCACACGCACGCACATATGCACGCACACGCGCGCGTGCGCACACACACACACACATTTTCCCAAAGTAAACATCATTTATTCTCTCTTTCTCTCATTCTTACCTTTGCCTTTTCCTTGGTTGGTACGTGTAGCGTCTGCAGCCACACATTACCCAGTGCCAGCTGCGCGTACGGATCATTGGCAGTTGCCGCCTGCTTCAGAATGAACTCAAATTTCTTCTGACCAGGTCCCCACTCCAGCTTGGAGAAGTGAAGGTTGCCAATCAGAGCCCAAGCGTCAGGGTGTTCCTGTCACAGAAAATCACAAGCACACAGGCTAGGTTTAAGCTAAAATGGCCGGGTTTTATTCAATGAACCTTCAACAATCATTTATACCTAGCGATGTAAACACACAAATGCATGTGGACAAGTACACTAAGTCTTGCACACATGCGCATGCACACGCATGCACACACACACACACACACACACACACACACACACACACACACACACACACACACACACACACACACACACACACACACACACACACACACACACACACACACACACCACATACACACACACAAACACACACACACACCAGCACCAACACCAGCAATGCTTACCGGCTGCTGAAGAAGGCCCTCCTTGAACCATTCCGATGCTTCGTACCACTGTTCTCGTGTGCGCGCCATACAACCTAGTCGCAGATAACCTGCAGCATACAGACATACATAACAGAGATGACAAAAAGTACATGTACAGTCATCCCTCTATAAACCAGCACCCTCTATAAACCAGCACCCTCTATAAACCAGCACCCTCTATAAACCAGCACCCTCTATAAACCAGCACCCTCTATAAACCAGCACCCTCTATAAACCAGCACCCTCTATAAACCAGCACCCTCTATAAACCAGCACTTTATAAACCAGCACCCTCTATAAACCAGCACCCTCTATAAACCAGCACCCTCTATAAACCAGCACCCTCTATAAACCAGCATAATTTTCATTAGCCAAAATGTCCTCTTCATGCACATTGCAACAGTAGATCAGATCTGTTAATCCAGCACCGTCCCTAATCCAGTAGAAGTTCCGTGGCACAAATGGTGCCGGATTATACAAGGGACCACTGTACAGAGTTTTCCGGTGTAGCAACACGGTAGAGGCTATCTTGACACTTGATGTCGGTTAGGGCATACCAACAACACTTACACGGTACGAAAACCTCCCAGACCTCCCAGGCTCACGGCCAGTACGCACCTGCACTTCTAGTCAGTGTACACTGGCTGTTTCTCGACGCCTCTCTTACCAAGTACAGTGCTGCCCAATGAAATGCGATCGAGTGAGGCAAGCACACGTCGGCACCGCAGAGCCCTAGACCTGCACACACTGGGATTTTCACTGGGTACAGGACGTAGATCTGATTCACTCGATCGGATTTCACCGAGCAGCACTATACCACTGCTAGCACTTGCCGAGTAACAAAAGAAAACGAAACAGAAGCAACAGGCTTACAGTCTGTTCATTGACCTCGCTCGTTCCTCATTCTTCCTTCCATTTGGCCTAAGCGAAAACTAGCCAAGCTTGCTTGGCGATGTCAACACGAAAAGGCTGAATATACTAACAATAATATGTACAGTCTGTGTGTTCAAGCCACCGTCCACTCACAGTCAATGTACATGGGCTGCTCCTTGATGATGCGCTTGTAGAGCGCTTCGGCCTCGTCCATGCGCGACCGTGACTCCATGAGGCGTGCCATGTTGTAGAGTATCGTGATGGTGATGCTGTGGTAGTACACGTCCTCGTCCTGACCTTCCTTCTGCACACACTCGCTGGCCTTGGTCAGCAGAGGCTGCGAACACGCACACGCACAAGCAAACATACAATTGCGCTCACAGAAATCCGACCCAAAGTGCAAAAGCCGGCGCCCTGCACCAGTTCCAACTACATCATTGTACTTTGTTCGAAAACAGTACCCCTGACTACAGGCTCCACATACTGTAAAGTACCGCCAGAGTGCCCCGTCTCGCGAGAGCGCCCCACCTTGATTTTACAGCCAGGGAAAGGAAAATCATATGGTACAGTGCAACGGAGTTTGTACGGTGTGAGAACCATAGTGTACTAAGGTCACACTAAGCAGGTTTCTGTGTGGAGCTCGAGCGCTCGTGTCCGCTCGAAGGTACGGATCGTCTCCACAACGTGCAATATGTGTACAAAGTTTGTGTCGTATGGCCTACAGACAGGAGACCACCTCCACAATACGACCGCGAAAGGACGAGATGGTGGGGCGCTCTGGCGGTACTTTACGGTACTTGTACGCGTGTACGTCCAGCCGCATTTGTGCCACTTCCAGGGCGCCAAGCGCTGTGTAAGTTGAGAACGCCAGATATGCACTTCGGACCGGATTTCACTGAGCGCAACGGTACAAACAGTGAACTTTCAGTATAGTGCATCTCCAAAGAAGGTCAAAATTCTCGAGGTCTTTCGAGAAGTTGGCTTTGGCAGATTCCACACACCACTATGACAGAACAGGAGCCACGAATGCAACCGGAGAGCACCCCCCCCCCCCCCCCCCCACACACACACAAACACACAGGGGCACACACACGGGCGCACACAAGGGCAAACACGCGGGCACACACACAGGCAAACTCAGACTCAGACATGCCCATCGCGGAAGCGATGATAGCGAACAGCTATGTTAGACATAGCACAGGCACACACACATACGCGCACACACACACACACACACACACACACACACACACACACACACACACACACACACGCACACACACGCACACACACGCACACACGGGCACACACAAATGTACAGCCATCGCAACGCCTACCTCAGCCTTGGCAAAGTCATTCTGGCGACAGTAGAGCACGGCCATGTTGTTGGCAATCTCTGGTGGAATCTCAGCATGCACTTTGTTCTGCAGTATGTCCACTGCCTTCTCATACGCTGTCAGTGCTGCCTGGACAACAGAAACACCAACAGAAACAGCAGATGAGAAAGACGAGGTCGAGATGGCTCAGAATGAAGACATTTTCCGGTGCACCGATCACCAGCATGTTGATGATATCCCTATACGAGTGCAAACTGTCGAAAGTTCGCGGTTTCGTGAGAAGAGCGTAACGCAAACATTCACCAGCGTGAAAAAATCAAACTTCAACAGTAGGTGGACATGTACATGTATGTGTGTGGCCACAGTACTCCGCGACCATTTGCGATCGTAAACTCACAAGTTCAGAGAAGTCGCGAAAATATAGTACGTAAACATTGGGTGGCTCACAGTACACAGAGAGAGGATTACTAGAATTGTCACGAGAGTTAGCACAAGTACTGCCACCCGAGTGTGCAACTCCGCTCAATGTGGTCCGAGGCGAGATTTGCGGATCACGTCAGCTTTTCCCCAGCTCAATAAGCCTCATTGGTCACCGCATACAGAGGTTCACAGGCTCACGACGTGAAACCGCCAACCGAGAGCATCCCCCGATCGTATGTTCTAAAGCTGGGAGCAAAAACCTACTCCAGATGCAAAAAAAAAAAAAAAAAAAAAAAAAAAAAAAAAAAAAAGCGTTCAAAAGTGCCCGGCATGCAGCCACACAAATGCAAATCTTGCATGAAGTTGAGGGTGGGTGGTGACTCAAGATGACATCAATAAAAAGTATGGCTGTACGTCAGACCAGCAGCTGAGTTGCACACTCTTATTACAATGTAATCTTGGAGTCTTGGACGGAGTTTGGAGCTCGGGTGAAGAAGAAAAAAGCAAAAAATCTAGCAGAGGATGGTTTCGATCCATCGACCTCTGGGTTATGGGCCCAGCACGCTTCCGCTGCGCCACTCTGCTTGTCACGATACAGTCAGCGTGGTTGGCGGCCTTGTTCAGACAGCTTGCTCGTGCACTCACTTCAAAAGTTGATTCATGAAGCGGTAGCTCATTGCACATTGCTAAAATACAGAATGTATGAGTTTGTGGTGTGGTGCACATATCTACAATGGTGGTACAGTACACCCATATGTACTGTGGGTGTCTGTAATGTGCACACAGACCATAACAAAGTTACTTACTGTGGTGTCAGTCTGTTCCGTTATGCCGGCAAGCTCAATCCACGCCTCGACGTCGTCGGGAAACTCCGTCGTCACCTTCTTCAAGTGTTCCTAGAAAGCACGCAATCACAGGTGTATATATATACAAAAACCTATAGTTGAGAACAGACATAGAAGCTGAGCAATCACCCACTTGAACCGGGTAGAAACATAGCTGCTTCCTGCAGGTACGACGGGTGAGCATGGATGAAGGGGACAGCAACCACTGTCCTCAATATAGTACGCACAAAGGTGGCCGTCCAAATCTTAGATAAGATACCCTTTCGATTATGTGCAGCATGATCGAGCGAATTGGCCCAGCACATTCGGTCTAGCAGGATCGAGCATGACCCAGTACCACAAACTAGCAGCATGATCCAGCGTACTGGTCTAGCAACTTTTCTAGCATTTCGAAGCGTTTCTTGTTACTTTGTCAGCTGATTTTCCTAAACCGTACCATACTTACATATATCTCCTACTCCACATACACAGCCTAAACTCTCACCTTGGCCTGCTCTTTCTTCTCCTGCTCCTTGGACTTAGAGTTGAGTGAGCCCAGGATCTTGATGGTCTCGTAGTTCTTCGGACAAGCCTTCGCCACCCGATCGAAGCACTGCGCAGCCTGTCGTCACCATGGAAACAGAAGAAGCACACAACACCACTCAGCATGCTGCGGGATATTAAACAACACGCTTGCTATGCAGCTCACATACTCGTACTCGGAGATGATTTGAAAATGATTCGCTGTTCACAAGACCTCTGAGCTCCACTCAGGACACTTAACACAGTAAAAACAGGTGGCCCCTGGAGGGGGAGGGGGTTACATTGTGCATTGCACTGAAGTTTCACCGTAGGTCTGAAATGAGAACACTATGAAGATCCCGGGTTCTAACTCTCGCCGTTAAAGTCACTTCTTTCTACTTCAAACGCGTGAGTTTTCATCGTCCTGAAACGTGTGTACAGCAGCAGCAGCTGTGCAATGCGTGAAACTTACATTTGCCGAATCGTTCTTCTCCAGGTACATCTGTCCGAGACCGAAGAACGGCAGAACAAACGACTGCGAGGCAAACTGCGTAGCTTGATAGTAGTACTTAAACGCTTTGTCATAGTCACCCTGGAATGACGGCACCAGCAGCAGTAGCCACGGCAGTCGCAGCAGCAGCAGCATTGACATACAGACAACGATTACAGTGGTGCCAATAGCAAAGTTTGCAGCAGCAATAGAAGTAGTTCAGGTAGGTGTTCAGGAGTTTTTGGTTTCGAGTTTTTTTCTTTTCTTTTTCTCTTTCACATGCATGAACTGTTGCAATTCACATTTTTTATCATTCAGTTTTGCTGTTTGCCTTTTGCATTCTTTGCTCTCCTTGCATTCATATCATCGTTGCTTTGTGTATTCAATAAAACACATTTCAGTAGTAGTCATACCACAACTGCGCAAATTCAAAAAAATGAATGAAACCAAGATGCAGAGCACAACAATCAAGTTGTTTGCATTGTCAATTTGTCATCCCTGCCAGAAGCAGCAACGCGAGAACAAAATTCACACATCGCCAGTGGGTGGGCGGCCATTAATTATGCGGAAACGTTTGCTCAGAAGCCGGCTATAACACGCCCACACAGACACAGACACACACACACACGCGCGCGCACGCACATGCACAGGCACGTGTGCAGCAGGTACCTGAGAATGAAAGGAGCGTGCCAGCTGGTAGCAGCTTTCCGAGCGCATGGCCTCGTTCTCCGTGCCGTGGAAAGCGTGCAGTGCCAAGTGTTGTACTTTTGTGTAGTCCTGTGCGCAGCAAAGAAACATACACACACACACATACACACACACACACACACACACACACACACACACACACACAAGCATGAACACACACATACACGCATGCCACATACACAAACACACGTGCGCGCGTCCATCACAAATGTACAAGTACAGTGATGTGGAAATAGCTAAAACTTGTAACACAATGACATCAAACAGTGCCACAAGAGTAGCAAACGTTCATTTTTTTTTCTAAAACTAGAAAACCGACACACGCACCAGTCACATTTACGAAAAGATTCACATGTATGTCAAAGTTGCAATCAACTCAAACACAAGAAGACAAAAGACAATGATCACAAAACGGCGTACCTTCTTGAAGAAGAAATGGTTGGCGAGGTTGTTCAACACCATTGGATTAGCTGAGTCCAACGTGTATGCGTTCGACAGCAGCTGAACACCCTTGCGGATAGACTCCGGCTGTGCAGCACAGGCAGCACAAACAGCACAGAGACCAGACAAGCGCAAGTAAGAGAAGCATCGAACAAGGGTAAGGAGCAGCAGCACTATAACATGGCTAATTCAGCCATGATGGTGTTCGTCAGCCAGGAGTGGCCACATTCACACTGCAGTAAGTACTCTGCTGCCGTCCCATGATCAGGACTAGCAATGCACACCTCAACTACATAGGGGTATTCGTCACTTAGTAGCAACCCTGCACAGCCACTGAGCTCTGAACTTCCTCTTACGGCATCGTATATAGTTCACAGTGTTGCTGCACACTGTCACTAGCACCCATCTCTGTCTGTCTGTCTCTCTCTCTCTCTCTCTCTCTCTCTCTCTCTCTCTCTCTCTCTCTCTCTCTCTCTCTCTCTCTCTCTCTCTCTCTCTCTCTCTCTCTCTCTCTCTCTCTCTCTCTCTCTCTCTCTCTCTGTCTCTCTCTCTCCCCTCATCCCTGCCTGGGCATTCGGCTCTGATCTGTCTCTTATAGCATCGTATATCGTTCAGTACTATTCCTGCACATCGTCACTGACAGTAACACTCCTCTCTCCCTCCCTGCGTCTCTAACCTCTCCTTGGTTCATTTCCATCAACGCCAGGCCAACAAGCGCACCCACACACTTGGGATCCAGCTCCAATGCACGCTCAAACGCCAATCTGGTAGTTCAAGCAAACAAGCGATCACACAAACACACACACACACACACACACACACAAACAGACGCATGCACGTGGTTACGCACACACAAAAGCGCGCACGCACACAGAAGTAGATCAATATACGACGGGGCGCCATTTCCAACCAAAACAAATATCAAGCACAAACAAACACACATCCAAATGTCTCTCCATCCTTTACTAGAAGTCTTGCCATACAGATAGACATGAAGACAGGCACACCTGTACATGTATACATGTATCTGGTGAAGTGAATCAACATGCAACAAACAATGGCCTGACTTGTCCAGCCATATCTGGATAAGCTCTGGTGAGGCACACACACACACACACACACACACGCACACACACGCAAGCACACGCATGAAGACTGGAGCTGGTACAACATGCCAGAAATCAACACCTGCTGCGTCAACTTACTTCGCCTTGTCGTTGTGTCCGAGTCGCGCAAAGCAATACCCCATACCCATGCGTACAGAACCTGAACACACATACGCATAGCAACATGGAGAAGGGGCACACAAACAGACAAGACTCAACGACGATCAGTGGTGAAGATAGCAGGCCGAGCAAAGTCAAGATGTTGAAATAAAACCGATTACGGTACAGAACACATGTACAGTGCTTGCCAATGAAATCTGATCGCGTGAGTCACGTTTGCGCCCTCCACCAGTGTACAGTTCCAGCATTCGCTGGTCTGGGGCTGCATAGCGCCCAGAGTGGCGTTAACTCGCTCGATCGCATTTCACTGAGCAGCTCTGTACAAGAGTGAGACAGAACACAGTCCCCTGCATGTTGCAATAGTCCTGAGAAAATAACATAAGAGCAACGTACCCGGACATTGCGGATTAGTCCTCAGTGCTTTCTTGTAGAATCCCAGTGCACCCTTGAAGTCCTTGCGATTGAACAGAATACATGCTTTGCCTGTATCATCACAAAGAGGTGAGAAGGAGAGGGAGAGACGACAGAGAGACGAAAATAGAGAGTGACGACAGAGAGACAACACTTAGAGAGAGTTTTTGTGTGTGTCAGCACGCTAGTGTGCGAGTGAGGTGAGAGAAAAAACCCACGGAAGGGTATAGCAAGCAAGTACTAGCGATAGGATTAGGATCCAAACACCCAGCTTGCAAAGCTCCAAGTATAACAGAGAACACCTGAACATGAATGGGAACATGCACCAGCAAATTACAACATGCGCAGTATAGCGCAAGACGCCGGTGTCAACAGCAGCATATCTACTGCACAGACACAGGGAATGCAGTACCGGTATGCAAGGAGACTGTATGTCAACTAGGGTGGAGGATTGGTCATGGATATGCGACAGGAATCAGGACAACACTGTCCACAATCTGTCAGCATTGGAGCCATTAGTACTCCACAGAGCAAGTAGGTATTACAGAGATGCTGATGGGACATGGACAGTACACAAATACACCAAATCGGCAACACAAGCCTTACCCAGAAGAGCAGGTATGTTGTTGGATGACTGCACCAAGACAAAGTTGAACTGTGCGTCAGCCTGCTCCATACGCCCTTCCAGCAAGCAGAAGAGTGCTCTGCCCAAGAGATGATTCTGCATATGACAATGCGGAGAAAGAAGTGAGAATGTGCATGGAGAAAAACAGACAGAGGGAGAAATGGGAGAAAGAGACGATGAGAAAAAGGAAGACAATATTGCCATCTACATGCCCACACACATCAGCATGTCTCATAATAATATTATATGGATCATCAGGCTGACAAGAAAACACACATCGACTAGCAATAGCAGTGAAACGCCATCGACTCGGCCAATCGTCCCACGTACCAGTTGGTGTAGGACAACAGCCGTCTTTTTTTTAGCCACAAACAATAAAGCCGGGGACTGGCCACAACATCTTGCTCTGACCATAGGTAGGTACAATGTAATGCCCACACTACCGAGCAACAATGGGAAAGGACGGCGTGTCCGGTGTCTTCTCCATCGCCTGTTCTATCTTTGGCAAACAGCAGCCGCAGGTACATGCACAGTCGTCACTCTTTGATCCAGCACCCTCTATTTTATAACCAGCATGATTTTCAGCAACCAAAATGCCCTTTTCATGCACATCGCGGCAGTAAATCAGATTCTCTAATCCAGTATAATTTCCGTAGAACACATGATGCCGGATTATAAAGGAACCACTGTACATGGACCCGAAAGCACAGCACAGCACGCCACGCCCCACAGCTGTTTGAAAGATGTTCGGCGCATCTGCAAACCCACCATCCAACTCGGTGGGTTGGTACTTGTGTGTACACTGTCCAATGTTCGTGATTCCCGGGGGGTTAATGCTACCATGCTATGGGTGTTGCTATGGGTGTTGCTATGGGTGTTGCTATGGGTGTTGCTGTGGGTGCTGTTGTACCAATCATCATGTAAGTGTTGCTGTAGGTGCTACGTAGGTGTCAGTGTTTTTGCAATCATGTTATCACAGTTTTGAGAAATGTTCGTGATGTATAAAAAAAGAAAAAGAAGGAGTGAAGCATCTACAGCAGCTGGTGACGCCTACGTGTGTGGAACGGTGTTCATATGTTTTGTCATGTGACTGTACTGGTGCAGAACGTGAGCATGGCAGTGTGCAAAGTGTGGAACCAACATGGCCGACATAATGCGACTCATAGATAAGGCTGCAACCACACTAGGTACAAAACTGCGTAAACGCAACTTTTCTGTTTATGTCGTCAAGGAAACACGTGCGAAACGCAAAACGTACTGCGTTCCGTTTCAGCAAACCGGGTACCCCTGTAGAAAGCAACTTTTCGCTGTTTCCTTGCGTTTCGCTCTGTTCTTCATACAGGTAGATGTTTCTTAGAATTCTTCTTGAGGCTTGCACTGTGTCGGTAGTAGACGGCTTCCTTGTCAGTTTGTAGAATTTGAGATTTCATCTGCCAGGGCTTTGCTTTCAGTACAATTTCCGGACAGTCCTGTTGCCTGCTGTTGTTAGTTCGAGATGCCGCGCAACTACATTGTATTTCGCTGATAATCTCGAACTGAGAAGCTCATGCAGCTTGGGGCAGCGTACCAGAACTCAGAAGACGAAGCAGGGCCAGATGACAGCCTGGAGCGGACCATCCGAGAGAAGGAGATGACCGAGGCCTTGAACGTGTATGTCAAGGCGCTCGCGACTCTTTTTCAAACTACTCGTACTACTACATGATGTAGTACATACATTTTCACAGCGCGATTTTTTTCTGGAACCCAGAAATGTAGACAAAACGCAAGGATTCCTGCATGAACTGGCAGTGTGGATGCGACTTTGCGTTATCTAAAAGCAGAACGCAAACGCGTACTTGATTTTGTACGTAGTGTGGTTGCAGCCTAAAGGAGTCGAGTAGAGTTGGAACCAACATGGCTGCCCTGTATGGTCATGTGATAGAGGTGAACCCACTCTATACCCTGAAAGCATTTCCATAGCAAGGCTGAGAAAGCAGCAGAAGCGCATACATGCACAAGTCCATCAATAACTGGCAAACTCACCAAGTCGTACATAAGAATTTTATCAGCCATCGTGTACAACTTAGTCGCCTGGAGCAAGAAACACGCACACACACACACATACACACACACACACACACACACACCAAAGAATTGTCACCGAGAGCCACAAACCGTTCACGGCCAGTACAAACCAAACACAACATGTTACAACCGTACATGTACATGGTGATAGTGGTCGTCCTGTGCTCACCTCTTGAAAGAGATCCTTCTTGAGATCCTTGTTCTTCTCCCTGTGCGCTAGCTGCACCTGGTGAGCAGCCAGCGTGTCAAGCGCCTGCATCTGATCTTTCTGATAGTCCCGGTAGTCCAGAGCGGCACCTGTCCAGTGAAGAAATAACAAGAGAGCGTGAACAGTGATGTGGGTGGAGAGAGAGAGAGAGAGAGAGAGAGAGAGAGAGAGAGAGAGAGAGAGAGAGAGAGAGAGAGAGAGAGAGAGAGAGAGAGAGAGAGAGAGAGAGAGAGAGAGAGAGAGAGAGAGAGAGAGAGAGAGAGAGAGGCCACCAAAGTTCTAAAAAAGAAGAAAGAAGGAGGGCAATCTCAGGCACTAACCGACGCGTGATGCCTCGAAAATCTTGACAAAGTCATCAACCTGACCTTGACGATAGTACTGGAGCTGCGCACATTAACGCACACATCAACGCACATATGGCACACACATATGGCACACACATAAAACACACATACACACACATATGAACACATGTACCAACAACAAAAGGCATTGCAATTCCATTCCAGCACACAAAAATACAAAACAGAATATTAAGTTATACACCTTGCTCAATATCTGCAGTATGAAGCCAACTATCAAAATTATCTATAATATGCCACCTGGTGGGGGTGGAGGGGGGGGGGGGGCAAAGGCATATGCTCTCCAAACATGTCTGGGCACATGCAGGCATCAACAGACACACAGGCAGAAACGAACACAGACACACAAACACCTGTCCTGTCCTGTCCTGAACATTGCCGTAAAACGGTCACATGTCCCCTCATACGAGGGGCCGACGGACACGGGGTAGGTCTTTGAATACGGTACGCAGCACGCACACACCATGTACCATGTACCATGTATACGCCCGTCGCAAGAGAAGCACGCAAATCTGCAAATGCACTGGATGTGCACCCACAGATTTTCTCTTTATAGCAACACACACACATACACACACGGGCGCGCATAAGGGCTTACCCCGAGCGTGAGCCAGATGTGGAGTTGAGCTCTCTCATGTTGGAGGATACTTAGAACCTCCTCCCCGTCGGGTAGCTGTTCCAAATCTAACTCAATCACCTGAAATATTGCACAACACACAACACCCGGCAGGAAATATTAATTAAAGAGGCTGCTGCCATGATGAGTTTCTTTGATCTTCGTTTGTGCAGAACCTCCACTCGGTTGCAAAAGAGAAAACTTCTCGCTAAAAAATTGCTTTCTTGATATTCGTGAGAATAAGGGGCAGTTGAAGAGTATTTCCCGCGTGGGAGCGCACGAAAAGACTCTTTTGCACCAGGAAAAAGGTCCGGCAAAGGCAACTTCATGGAAAAACACACAAACTTCTCTTGGAAAAGAGAAATCTCAAAAAGTCAAAAGCAAAGTGGGTCATGGCAAAGAAAAAAAAACATCATCCACAAGTGTCAAGCCACCACCCGGATTCGAACCGGGGATCTCCTGTTTACTAGACAGGCGCTTTAACCAACTAAGCCATGGCGGCGACTTGACACCTGAGCATGTCTTTGGCGTGTAGTTATCACACACATTACTGTCATCAGGTCCTTCAAACCACTGAACACTGACATGACAGCGGGGCACCGGCGTGCAGGGTATTCCCCCTGCTGGTGCCCAGACTCGAGATGCACATGTAACATAATTTAATAATGTGTTTGTTTACACGTGCGCGTCAAGCTTTTATGCTTACAAGCATAAGCACAGGTAAATGTACGCTGTACCACAGGCCCGGCGCACCGACTTTGGCGGTGGGGTGGCCAAGAAAGGGGAGATACTGATTTTCATTACTCCCAAACAGCACTGGCAACTGTGATACAAAGCTGGAGTGCCTGGCCTAGTCACCAAGGGCAACAGATGCTGTACCCCACTGCTGCTGGTGTCGCTTTCTTCTTTCAGCTCAAATAATTTAATTTACAGTCTGGTGAGTTCGCCGCGTCTCCTGTTCAGTTAACATAAGTTGGACCAAACAAACTACTTGCAGTTTTACTGCAGAGCGAGGGCAGACGACAAATAGTAAATATAATAGGACTGTTTTTTTTGCAGATAAACTCCCTCAATCCGGATAGCTTCGGACTAAAGGGCAGCCAGATATCATAATTGCCAGGATGTCAAAGCACCCATTACATAACGTGCAAAGCCGCTGTGAGAAGTATTTTTCGGACATTTCCTCCGTCTTTATGCTGGTGGTCGGCCGACCGCACCCGGCAACGGATCTCCAGAAGTCGACCGAGTGCCCAGATCTAGAGAATCTACATCTGGGAATGTATCAGTACTGCAAGTATTATCTTCTCCTCGATTAATATTCCGGAAATAATTTTAAAAAACTCCTGTGCTAAATGTAGCCGAAACTTGAAGCTCAGCGCGTTTCCGAAGCGGCTCTGTGCGTACGTCTAAATTTACTATGAGATTTGACTTCACAGACTACAAAATTAATTGACGGACATTCCACCCCGTGTCCCACTATGCATCTTGTGAGTGACAGATTCAATGGTGCCGTACTGAGGTAAATGCATACTGCACAATACAATAATTATACAAAAATCAAGCGCTTCTCCAAACAGAATTGCAGCCTCCGTACGCTACGGCTGCTTTTCTTTATACATGTGGAAGTATATGCCTGTATACTTTACACAATATCTTCTGTGTATGTTTCCTATGATGTTACACGCGATGTTGTGACGCTATTAAGGGCATCTCAGTCCTCGACACAATAATTATGTCAATTATCAGCCAAAAAAAGTAGGTCAAAATGCCCTTGGAGCATTCTTAACGGATTTCGCGCTAATAACACAAGTATCAACTTCACAGCTAGTTGACAGCATATAGACACAAAGGTCGGCAGCGCTAACTCCCAGGCAGAGAAAGAAGTCAAGGCAGCAAACTTCTCTCACCTCCTCAGTGTCCCGAAGAGGGATTTCTATCCACCGGTTCTCCGTTCTTTGCTCCGCCATGCTGAGGCCAGCTTCACGTTTACCAACCCATTCAACAATTACAAATAACAGTTACAGACTGTCTCCCTGAGCAAGGGCACAGACGCTTTTGAGAAAAGTAACGGTGGCCTATTTTTACTGAACAAGATGAAATCAACTGAATACGCTTTCCTTCTCATCTGAGCTACAACTAGCTCAAGCTGTACGAAAAAAGTCACCACACGATTTTCAACTACTTAAACTTAATTCTCCTCGTGATCGTGACATCACAGCTAGCTCATCTGGGAGTCGTAAGATTATATACTAAAATAGTTTTTTTTTTAAACGTATTATTTTTACGACTCTCTGACAAGCTAGCTATAAAAAAATTTAATGTATCTGACCGGCCGGGTCGACCTTTTTTTTTGGCTTTATTGCTATTTTCAGTGTCTTGTATGTATGGAACCAAGAGTACATTGTACTTTTGTAGATCTACTCTTGAGTCTTGATGGAACTAATGTTGTAGGCTAGCACCAGAGCACAGGCGTGATATAATTATTATGGTGTGTGTGTCGTGTCCAAAACAGCCGGAGTCGAGAAGTAAAAACAGCAGAAATAAAATGATCGGTTGGACCACGGTGTATCGACCGCGCTCCAGTTCGGCGCGTGAACCCGGAGCGCCTCAGTTGCAGTTTCTGCCGAGTGATGGCTAGTTGTAGTGACTAGTGTTTTCTGGGCTCCGAAATAGTTTGCTGGTCAGACGTACGATCACGAGTCTGGTTCGTGAAAAAAAATGGTTTGCATCTCGGCTTGATTTGATTGATCAAAGTAGTACACAAACGCGCACGCACACTAGTTTGCGGTGAGTAAGCCAAGCCGTGACCAAGCACAGCAAACTGGCATTTTGACGTTGGCGGTTGTCCCGGTCCGGGAACAGGAGTATAGCTGTTACATTGATAGTGACTAAGCTTGTAAGGCAGCCTAAAGTTAGCTAAACAGCCCACCGTGCCGGCGTAAAATCATGGCTGACTCACCGCCTGCAGCGGCGCATCCCAGTATGACGCCGTGCAACGTATGCATCCTTGGAGCTGGCTGTATTGGTCTGGCATCGGCCAGAACATTGGCCGAGCGAGTGCAGGAGCGTGACTATGCACAGCAGGTGAAGATCACGATTGTGGCGGAGAAATTCCACCCGCACACGACAAGCAACGTGGCGGCGGGCATATGGGAGCCTTACGATGTGAAAACTGATCCCGTCGAACAAGGCGAGCGCTGGAGCATGGAGACATTGCGCTGGATGCGCTCGACGTTCCAGTCGGATCCGAACACGGCGCGGCAAGAAATGGGGATTTTCCCCTGTGTTCTGCACGATTGCCATAGCAAAGATGATGGTGATACAAGCCGCAAGCGTGACCCGAGCCCTGATCAGTTTCCCGTCCTCGAGCGGCTCGGCTGTGACGTTGTGCGAATGACCGACGATGAGCTGGAAAACTACCGCGCATACGGCAACGTGAGCTGCTTCAAGCTCCAGACAATGATCGCGGACACCAGTCGCCTGCTGCCGTGGCTGACACGGGAGTGCGAGCGCTATGGTGTTACGTTTCGCATGCAAACAGTGAAGCGACTGGAGGACCTTGGCACAGAGTTTGACGCCGTCATCAACTGCTGCGGGCTATCGGCCAAATCGCTACTGGGGGACGAGGACATGTTTCCGGCGCGAGGTCAGGTGGTGCGAGTGCGAGCACCTTGGGTGAGCCAAGCGGAAGTCGTCCTAGCTAGCGACGGCACGCTGACGTATGTTATTCCGCAGGTTGACTGCGTGGTGTTGGGCGGCTTCTACCAGCGCGGCAACTGGAGCGAGGAGGTGAGCGACGAAGAGACGGCTGCGATACTGCAGCGCTGCGTTGCACTGCATCCGCGGCTGGCGCAGGCGCCGGTCCTGAGGGTCCAAGCAGGACTGCGGCCGGGACGTACGTCCGGCATGCGTTTAGAAGCCGAGCAGCTCGTGCTGCACCGCCAAACATCCTCCAGTGCAACGACCAGCGGCAGCAGTGGCGCGGCCGAGTGTGTCTCGACCGGGCAGCGTAGTCGGAGCGACGACGCTAGCCTGTTCGTAGTGCACAACTATGGGCATGCCGGCTGTGGCGTGACCGTTCACCGCGGCTGTGCGCTGGACGCTGCCCGACTCATGCTGGACTGGCTGGACAAGGCGTTCAGTGCCACCGAGCAGGGCTTGGGGTAGGAGCAGGCAAGCTTCTCTGAACAAGAAAACACCTGATTCTCTTCATATTATTATTATTATAAGCACTATCGCGATGTAAGCGGGGATGCCTACTTCACTTGTGCCATTCAGGATGATGATAAAGAGAAAGAGAAACAGAAAGCTCAGAATCCTGAGGAACAATGCTGTAGAGCAGAATAGCTGTGATCGATTGGATGCACTACAGAAAGGTGAAAATTATTAGTTCATTGATAATAGCTGGTGAGTTGTCTCGTCATTTCTGAATATGACATAATTATCTTTTTTCTATAATTACTCAATCTGCGGACAGAAGTGTTTCGTCCTTTCTGGACTCTTCAGAATAACTATGATTTTAAATTTGGAATTGTGTTGAGGAAGAGGATCTTATTATGTTGATGTGTTAGCCTGAGAATACCTGTGGGGCATGTATCTGAACAGCGACACATAAACAGGCTATATTCTACAATCTACATCATCATGTTCTTCGAAAAGAAATACATGTTTTAAAAGTGCTTATGTACGACATTGAATGTCGCTTCCGAAACGACTGCATTTACGACTCAGTCACTGCTTTCTACTGCACATGCATTGATCGTTGTACTTTGGTGTCTGCATGCACGATACTAATCATTGGTATGCCAGCAAGCCTTGAAGCCACCCGATATTTATCGTTGTACTTTGGTGTCTGCGTGTACGATACTAATCATTGGTATGTCAGCAAGCCTTGAAGCCACCATATTTTATCGTTGTACTTTGGTGTCTGCATGTACGATACTTCTTGGCATGCCAGGAAGCCATGAAGCCACCATGAAGTGGAGGCACAGCAGTGTGTTCCCTGCAGTAACATGGTAACTGTAGTTAGTGTGCATTGGCTGATCACTACCATGCAGGCAAGGCATGGAGCTAGCAAGATGTTCACTAGACCGCGTAAGTCATTGGCACTGTCCGGCTGGATCTGCAGACTGCAGTGCAAGGAGTTCCCTTTGATTCGAATCGTCTTGACCTCCGTCAAAACCTAGTCAAGTGGCATCGACCCATATGCATGATGCTGTTACAATCACACATGCGCGCTGCCACACATACTAGCAGTACACAGACCCGTTCAGAACAACGGAATACCCAGCCATATATGTTTTGCGGAAAATCTGGGTTCGCAAACTTCATGGCATGATGCATGAGGAACAGCAGCGAGGAAATAATCCACGACAGTTAACAACCCCCACATGTACACGTACCAAACATATCATCGTGTACCTGGAGTTTGTGCCTTTGGATGCCCATTGCTTCAATTGCATTGATAGCACACCACCTTGTACGCCGGTCGCAAGAGAGGGCATGCAGCTTACGTGCATAAGACCATCCCCCCCCCCCCCCACACACACATTCGAGCCTAACAAAGTTAGGCAGACCGGTATCGCCACATCAGTAGGTGCAACGACCAACCACAGTTACACGACGCGTGTCGGGATAAACTCAATTCAGACGGCGCACACTAGCCCAATAGAGATGCAGCTGTACCTAGCTAAGACGGGGGTAGAGAAAGAATATGTGAAAGCGGAGAAGGCAGCAGAACATTGCTACCATACAAACGACAAGAAGCAGGGGAAAAAAGTTAAAGAGAAATACCCAGGGGAAGAGAGAGAGAGAGAGAGAGAGAGAGAGAGAGAGAGAGAGAGAGAGAGAGAGAGAGAGAGAGAGAGAGAGAGAGAGAGAGAGAGAGAGAGAGAAAGAGAGGCACACGGACATATGGACAGGGTGCGCGGACCGGTGCAGCTAGCTCAACACGAGGTGACAGATAGCAGCGTGCTACACCAGAACAAAACGCAGGATAAGCACCGACAAGCGAGAGGGAGGGGATGGTTGCGAAAACAAACGGACGCTACTAGTACTACCAGCAGAAGCTAGATAAATGGTCTAGAATGCATGTCAACAAATGAAGCCTGACAGGAACAGTATTAGTACCAGCAAGCTTTAAGCCAATAATAGTCAAATGTAGCAGTAGTAGTAGTAGTGATAATAATAATAATAAAGACCATAGGACAGTCCAAGAATGGAATTAGTCAATTTCTCTCCAGTCTGTAAGAATTTCATATCAATCCTAGGCCTAGAAGAACCTGCGCAGCGAGGGTGCTGCTGGCTCGCCGACCAAAACGGACGGATAGTGATGGGATCTGTATGTGACCTGATCACCGAATAGAGGCAGACGCAAGTCTGTGGCAACTGTACACTGAATTTGCGAGTATGGGCACGTGTGTGTGTGTCTGTGTGCGCGTATGTATGACAGTGAAAGAGATAGATAGACAGACAGATGGAAGACTGCCATAAGCATGTGTGCATGAACAAGCGAGTATGCGCAGTCGCCGAGGGCACGGAATACAGCACCTTAAGTCCGACAAAGCACGAGCAGCGGTCCAAGGTTGGGTGAAAGCCCATTGGCATTGATGCCATTGTCACAATTGTAGAAGGCAGAAAACGAGAGAAATTAAACAGAAAATGACAAAGAAAGAATCCTATAAGAAAAAAACACAAAACACGATCATGCTAAAACCTGGCCAGCTACACAGTGGGCAGCGTACCAAGGTGGCAATTAACAACCCAGCTGGCCAGCCGAAGGGCGACTTGAAGTAGGTGAGGCCTACTGAACTTGGCTACCAGCAGAGTTGCTGGATTCTCCACACTGAGGATACAGAGTGCCAGGCCAGATCAGCACCAATACTAAAACAACTCCGGCGCTACGAGTCGCGAGCGCACACACCCGCAGCGAAAGCAGCAGTGCTCTAGTCCTTCAGTCCTTCTCAACGGCGACCCTTGCGACCCTTTTTCCCTTTGCGTTGCTGGTTGCCGCCGGCACGTTTCTCATCTTTTCCAGCGGCTTCCTCCGATGCAGCAGCTGCCTCTGCAACGTCTTCGCCTGCTGGCTCATCTGCAGCAGCAGCAGAAGGTTCAGCCGCCTCTGCAGCAGGGCTTTCGTCTGCTACTTCTTCGGTTGCAGCGGGCTCCTCTGATGTAGCAGGCTCTTCCGCTGCGGCAGGCTCTGGAGCAGCTTCCTCGACTGGCTCCTCAGCAGTTGGCTCCTCTACTGCAGCAGGCTCCTCAGCAGTTGGCTCCTCTACTGCAGCAGGCTCCTCAGCAGTTGGCTCCTCTACTGCAGCAGGCTCCTCAGCAGTTGGCTCCTCTACTGCAGCAGGCTCCTCAGCAGTGGATTCCTCTACTGCAGCAGGCTCCTCAGCAGTAGGTTCCTCAGCAGTGGGTTCCTCTACTGCAGCAGGCTCCTCAGCAGTGGGTTCTTCTGTGGCAGCAGGCTCCTCAGCAGTGGGTTCTTCTGTGGCTGCAGGCTCCTCAGCAGTGGGTTCCTCCGTGGCAGCAGGCTCCTCAGCAGTGGGTTCCTCCGTTGCAGCAGGCTCCTCAGCAGTTAGGCCCTCTGTTGCAGCAGGCTCATCAGCAGTTGGTTCTTCTGTTGCAGCAGGTTGCTCTGCTACCTCCTCTGCTGCCTCTGCAACAGCAGCAGGTTCTTCAGTTGCAGCTGGTTCCTGGTCGGCCTCTGGCGCAGCTGATACCTCTTCCACAGCCGGCTCTTCCACTGTCTCTGGCACATCTGCCGCCGCCTCCTCTTCGACAGCCGGCTGCATTTCGTCAGCGGCAGTCTTGGCAGGAGCCTGCGCGTCCACTAGGGAGGGCGACGCAGACACGACCGCTCCCTCATTCGTGTAAGCACCGGAAACGGCCGGATCAGCGGGGGCGGCAACAGGCTCATCGTCATTCTCGTACGTACCTGACGACGTGACAGCCTCCTCTTGTTGTTGTTGTTGTACCGGTGGCTCCTCGGTGTCAGCGACGGATTCGAAGGCGGCAGTGTTGCTGTAGGCCGCCACTCCGTTCGTTGCGCTCGCTGCCGGCACCTCGTCGACGGGCCTCTCGAAACTCTCGTCCGTTGACCCAAAGCCCTGCTGCACTGCAGCGTCATCATTCTCAGTGGCCGCCGCGACAGCGTGTGCCTCACCGTACTCCAGAGCGGCCATGAAGATGAACTGATACTGGTCGGGCGTCTGCACAGAGAAGGCGCGGTGGTTGCGGATGTGCCGTACCGTGCCTGGAATGTCGCACTGCAGCGAGAAATAAGACACACCACGTCGACACCGTCATGGCCACACACCGCCGCACACACGAACACACACATGACAGGAAGTAGTTAGAATCCAGGCGGAAACAGACACGAACGACCATTATTCTACTCGGAGAAAAAAAAAACATATTAACCTTGCACCCAAGAACACACCGTCAAGCTGTTACAGTGTAGTAAAAACTGACGACAATACGCATCATACTCAACTCAATCTAGAACTTCCAGACAGCAACAAGCCCATTGTGCATTGCCAAATGTGGAAGGTATGAGTAATGCATGTGAGTACGATGAGATCAGGGATGCCCTGTTCAACACCCCCAGATGGCCACGCGCCCAGGTGGCTGCGTGAGGTGTTCCCGGTACAAATTATTGAAATTACGTCACTGCGCAATGGGCTCACTGAAGACGCCGAAACGCACCTTTCCTGAAGCGACGAGGCACTGGCAAGAGATGTCCGTGGCCATGAGGGTGCCCGTTCGGCCGACGCCGGCGCTGCAATGAACAACAACGGGCGGCTCTGCTCCGTCGGCGTCCACGGCAGTGGCGTTGGTCAGGTGCATGTTCTCAATGACGTCCAGCATGGATGCGGCGGTGGCCGGCAGGCCAAAGTCAGGCCAGGCGGTGAACTGGTACTGGGTGACTGGGCGCTTCTCACCGTTCTGTCAAATACAACAGAGAGAGAGAGAGAGAGAGAGAGAGATAGAGAGACAAAGACAATCTTACATACTGGTAGTCGTATATGCAAGAGAAATGGTGTTACTTCGAGGATCTTCATGTACTAGTAGAACGTGCACGGAAGTGAGCAGAGAGAGCAAACTGAACGAAAAAACAGCAGTGCTCAATGAAATCTGATCGTCTGGACGAGTCGGTTCCCTTCACTACTCCACAGCCTAGCATCTGTAGGTCGGCGGCTTCACGGCGACCAGCGTTCAATGCATTCAGTATTCATTGAGCAGCAGCGTACATGTCAATGCTCTTCAGCTACTGAGTTCACATTGGAATGGGACAAGCTGTAGCGTGAATAGGTCCAAAAGGTATACTGTACAGGCAGAAAATTTCGTCGGTCAATAACTTCGTCCAACTCCAAAGAAAGGGAGTTCGTCCGGTTGAAAATTTCGTCCATGCATCATAAGAGTGTATTGAAAAGCTGGACAAATCGACATTAGTCCGGCATTTAATTTAGTCCAAAAGCTCCTTGGACGAAAAAGACGAAATTAAATTCCAGATGAATATTTCTGCTTATACAGTAAGTCCGAATACGTATATCTGGCATGATCATGCTATGCTGATGACTCGCATAACTAAGTGGGTTCTGTCAGGGAGTGCTGTTTTTCTCCACTAGTCGCTAGAAATGGGCTGGGAACGTACAACGTGACCACCGCACCACGTGAGGTGAGTGTTCGCCGTCGACGGACCCATAGGAAGGGCATACGGAGTTGCACACTCTCGGTATCACCGATACCGTGCTTTTCGCACTTACGTAGCTGAGGGAAAACTCTCTGGTGGAGAAGTCAGAGCCGATGTGTTCAGACGTCATTTCCAGAACGAATCGGCCGTACAACTCCTCACCACCTTCCACAGGCCAGTACTCGTCACACTTGACACGGCCACGCTCAACAAGCCTGAACAACAGCAGCAGAAGCAGCAGCAACAAGAGCACAATTTACCAATATCGTATAATGCGTAATTTTAGGTGCATCAAAAATATAAAAATTCCGGTCTCAGGAACCCGCCAGGTTTCAGGTGTAATGTAGAATATATTAGGTGACCGGCATTCCCTTCACATACAGTTCATAGTACTCAAAATTCACCCAAAACAGGGGCGTGTGGCTTATACTCCCATGACCAAATTAACGGTGATAACTAGGGTAGATGCCTGTATTTCGTGGTAAAAGGGGGGGGGGGGGGTGCTGCTGCTGCTGCTACTGCTTACACTCTGGAAAATACGGTAACCACAAAAAGCGACAGAGCAGTAACTTTCCACTGAAACCCGCTCAAAGGGTGCCCGAAGTAGTAACCTTTCCACTGAAGGCCAACGTGCCCGTAACGTCCGTGTCCGGATAACTGAGGTATGAGAAGGCTTGAAAATCAACAAACCCACATGATCCGGTCATGTTTCGTTGGTTGCAACAGCTGGTTGAGATCGAAGAAAAGGCGCTACACAGCGGCCCCAAACTATTGACAAACAGCAAGTCGACTCCTCAGCGGCAAGTACTGCCGATAAACAGGCCAAACACCACTCACTTTGTTGTCATGACTACGACACGGACGCGGTACTCCCAGACCATTCTCCAGAAGTCCTCAAACGTGTTGGGCAGGGGACCCTGGCAGGCAATGTAGGCATGGTCGGACTTTGGCGTCGATACAAAGTTAGCGTTGATGTAGTCGGTGCCCTAAGACAGCACAGGAAATCAGCACACAGAAAACACAGGGATGACGAATAAACAGGCAGTGACATATTGCCACATAGCACGCATATGCATACAGCATCGAGCTGGATGAAGGAGTACTGTAAAAGCAGAAATTTTCGGTGGTGTAATATTTTCGGTATTCGCCAAAATCGACGTTCGGTAGCGGGAAATTTTCGGTAAAACCCGTTCTCCAGGTAGGTGTACTAGTACTACATGTATACAGTATCGGTTGTACCGAAAATTTCGGTGCGTTTTATTTTCGGTAAAAATTGTCGGCACCGAAGTTACCGAAAATAAAACACCACCGAAAATTTCTGCTTTAACAGTACACATAAAACCAGCACACATAAAACAGGATAGATTTCCCGGAACGTTTGCCATCTCCTCAGCAGGAACGTCCAAGGAAATCTAACCTGTGCGAATGATGTGTGTTTCGAATGCACAACTTGCTTTACTTATTGTGTTAATTTCATTTCTGTCTCCACGAAAACTGTTGACATGAAACAGGGATGATGAATAAGCAGACAGTGACATATCACCACATGGAAAGCATGTGCATACTAGTATTGAGCTCAATGTAGGAGCACTGCAGCCGATACACCACCAGGCTGGACAACCATCGAGAGAGAGAGAGAGAGAGAGAGAGAGAGAGAGAGAGAGAGAGAGAGAGAGAGAGAGAGAGAGAGAGAGATCCCCTTGGCTGATCAAGTTGCTCACGTAGCACATGTGTGTACTTCCTCCGGAAACTAAAACTTCGTGACTTTGATAGACCTGTCTGTTCTGGTGAACTGAGTTTGGAGGAATCAAGCCACACAGACTCCGAGCTCTACTCAAACGGTGCCATTTTTTAGTACAATAATGTACATGTTGCAAGGATGTGTATCAACTAACTTTGCTGAACTGGTTGTGTTCCTATGAACCCAATTTCTTTATCACAGTGACAACTTAGGATGCGGATACAAAAAGTCACCAAGTTTTTGTTTCCGGAGGAAGTATGTGTATTGACGTGCACACCGTTACACAAAAAGAGAGACCGAGAGAGAGAGAGAGAGAGAGAGAGAGAGAGAGAGAGAGAGAGAGAGAGAGAGAGAGAGAGAGAAGGCTAGAAGGGAAGGGAATCTTACGGGGACTGCTTGACCGTATTCGTCGGCAAGCGTTCTCAGGTGAACTCTGGTCTCCTCCAAGGCCAGGATGTCAGCATAACGATTCTTAGGCAAGTTCATGGGAGATCTGTAGCAAGCAAAAAACACAGGCGCACATACACATGCACACACACACACGCGTTGAATGTCTTCTCTCCACACACGGTACATTTCCCTTCTGCTGTAGATAAGTGTTGGCAGAAAAAGCTTGCTCATCTTCCATGCTAGCTTTATTGCTTCCAGGCTTCGGCACGGAGGCTTGTTCCTTTCTTGCAAACACACACGAAGAGCAATGTCTGCTCTAGGACTTCAGACTAACCGGGTACATGTACAAGCGTACCGGGCACAACTCTTGCAACCGGGCCAGAGCCAGACACACAACGTTCCAGTGCGGCTACGGCATGTACCATCAGAGTCGTGTAAATATTCTACTTCGTGTGTTCCTTGATGTACACGTACGAACAACCTGCACTGGCCCGGGTGCTCTATCCGGGTGTTCTTAAAAAAAAAGAGTTCAGTGTTGCCACATCACTTTAGCCAAATATCAGTAGGATGAAAAAATGCACCATCCGGGGCTTTGTCCCAGGTCCCCCATTCATAATAGCCCCAGTATATACACACGCACCCATGCGGCAACAATTTCACAGTTCTGAGTGCGACTCGGACTGACTTTCCGATTTTCCCCCGAGACAGATGATGATTTCACTTAGCACCTTAGGAGGGAGCTATGGAAACACTCATGGTGGCCACTGTAGCACAAAATCTGGATCCTGACTTTTAAACCAAGCAGAAGGCCAACATTGGGTATTTTCATGGCTGCTGTCAGCAGGAGAAGGTCAATTGTCGGCAGGTTGTGACATGCCTCCAAAATCGGCAGGCTACTGACATGTCGGCAGGTGTGGCAACACAGAGAGTTCCAAGTACCCCCAACCCAGCTCTAGAGGAGACACTGGAAGAGCAAGTGGGGACTCTATCCGGCTGTTCTTTTTTTTTAACGGGTCTAAGTACCCCCAATCCGGCTCTGCAGGAGACACTGGAAGAGTGGAGCAAGTGGGCACTCTATCCGGGTGTTCTTCTTCTTTTTTTTTTAACGGGTCCAAGTACCCCCAATCCGGCTCTGCAGAAGACACTGGAAGAGTGGAGCGAGTGAAGACTATATTCGGGTTCCTTTAAAAAGAAAGAAAAAAAGGGGTCCAAGTACCCCCAATCCGGCTCTGCAGGAGACACTGGAAGAGTGGAGCAAGTGCCACAGGACATCGTTGGGTAGACACAGAAAAGAACAAGGAACAGGCTACTCCCAATAAGTCCCTCACTAATTCCAGGGGACCAAAACTTGAGCGATTTCTTGCGATAGCGTGACATACGGATACTGAAGAGTCTAGTGTTTAAACCGAACACGGATTCTTCGAACGAATAATCTATCGAATAATTTCGCCCTCCATCGAACGAATAATCTATATTCTATCATATGCATGATGGCATTTTTCAACACTTTTTCAGCACTTTTTCAGTAGTTTTTTTGAATTTTTTTGCTGATTATCGGATTTTGTTATGTGGAGGTGCAAAACCGGTTAATTAACCTGTACCACCAAGAGTACATAACCCCCCCCCCCCCCCCCCAGAGTGTGCAACGCCTGATCCAGCTCTGCATAGGGTACTAGGGTCTTCGTCGAGCGTAATTGGATCTTCACTGCATCCGTGTGTTCCCCTCGTATGGAAAGAAGAGAAGTAATACTAGATACCGATAGGAGATTAAAACTTGGAGGAGAGGAGATTGAGAAGAAATACTACGAGCAGATTTACGCAGTGCAAATATCAGCAGGGTCAGCACTGAGCATACATGTGGATTTTTTTTTTTCGATTTCTGATAATTCCTACGACTATTCGATTATTCGTTCACCCCACGAATATTCTAAATTATTCGATTATTCGATTATTCGTTTCAACACTACTGAAGACACATGCACACAAGTGTTCCCTCCATTGCAATTTGCAACAGTGTGCTGCTTATCGAGAGTTCATTTGTTGCAGCGTGTAATTCTTCGCCAGCAAACGCTGTCAACGGCGGGCCTGAGGCAGGACTCGGCGAACATGCAGCACCTACAATAGTGGCCCAGAAAATTTCTTTTGGACTTCAGAGTGTGTCCGTGCGAACCCCAGTAGTCTTGGACAGCACACTAGATAACGGTGTGTGTGTGTGTGTGTGTGTGTGTGACGCAGATTTACATTGCCACTCTGACGTTTCACTAAAAAAACCCTAAACAAAACCCACGACAATACGCACCTTGTTGCGACAAAGTTGCCTCGTGGCGCCTCCTTGCGTATATACATATACTCGGCAGCGAATGAGTTGGGCACAGAGTTAGTCAGGCGATCGTGGAGCTGAGCTAGTGTGATAGCGTCTGTGTCCCGAGACATGGGTAGACGGACACACAGACACACACAAACATGCAGTACAATTAGCGAATACCCAAACCAACCACACACACAGTAAAAAAACCAACAACACCCAAATGAACAAACACACACACGCGTGTGTACAAACTAACACAGACAGAGGCGTTTGGTTCACTCACCTGCGCTGCTCATGTCGAACGCAGTTGCCTTCCGCTTCAGCGAGGTACGTCGCCTGGGTGGAACAGGGGCAGGACCTGCACCACACCACCAAACATCAATAGCAATTAACTACTACACTAAAGCGGAGCTACCATCAATCTAGAATATCAACTACAGTCCTGCTCAATGAAATCCAGTCACATCACATGAGTACGCGCCGGGCATTGCACAGTCCTAGACCTGTGAACGCTGGGCTGCGAAAGGGTGCAAGGCGCAAACTTGAGTGACGCAACTGGATTTCATTGAGCAGCACTGTACAAGTGAAATTTGAATGTACAGCTGTATTACACTGTTGTCAAGAGACAGCAGTTTCTGCGCCCAGTAAGTCTTTAAAGACACAAAAGTAAGAAATAGGAGAAGAGATGGAGAGACATGTGCAAATTTTGTTTTGTTTTTTGTTTTTGTTACAATGCAACGCAATGTTGTGAAAATACACAGCAACGAGAGTCAAGAGGAAACTGACACCGAGAATGCGAATACAGGCTGGACAGACCTTCTTGTGGAGGAGGTGCTGCGGGGCTGGATCGCATATTGCGAGCAGTGACTGCCATTCGTGACGACTCTGACTGAGATGACGTCCGGATTGGTGGCTTTGGGGGCGCCTCACTCGCCGCAACCTCTACAGTAAGTGGACAAAAGGAGAAAGGCACAGATAGCCAAGAGCACGTTCACTTCTCACTCACTAAAACCATTTTACACGCGACGCCACACGTGTAGAAAGAGTCACATGGTCTCCCCAATGTAGACACCGTACAGTAAAGGGTGAATATGTGTTCATATACATTTCATGCGCAGTTAGACATGGTACAAGTACTTATGTACTGTACAAGCAGACATATTCGTCGGGAATTTAATCTCGTCATTTTCGTCCATAGAATTTCAGACTAAATTAAAACTATTAAATGCAGGACTAAATGTAGATTTGTCTAGATTTTCACCACGTTTCAACATCGATGGATGGACATTTCCACCAGACTTTCTTTGGAGTGGGATACAGTTATTCACCAACCAAATTTTCTGCTTATAAAGTACTGCACACCCTGCAACCTAAGTTACTCACCCTGTACGCGGTGCCGCTGTACGTAATTGGTGGTGCAGAGGCGTATCCACTCGTCATGCGTCGACGGCTGGTTGCCACCGAGGGTCACTGGCAAGAGGTCGGAATCAATGTGACGCTGCAGGCCTGCTTGTGAGATCATTTGCACCTGGGTAGCGAAAGAGAGAACACAACAGAGCACGCAAGGTCAGAATAACTCCCGGAAAGTGCATCGTAAAAAGATTCCGAAAAAAGCAGCCACTGCCACTCGATCTGGTCACAGCAACAGTCCGAACATGGCATCACAAACTAGACTGTCCGTATGCACGGATCTAGAGGAACATTCTTCACATAACACTACAACAACCAATCAAAGTCAGAGTCTCGTTCGCAACTACCCATTGCACATGAGCATGAAAGTGCAAACATGCAGGCATATTACGCATTTTCATTTACTGTTGTCCGATAACACCAGCCGGACTGCGCAACCTATGAATTCTGGACAGGGGAATGCGTCGTTTCATGAGCCGTGGGAACCGTAACAGTACTGTTACATTGCAACAGTACCGGGAGTGGTGCGAGGGGCTCTCGATTCCACTACATGAGCTAGATGGTGCTGGTAGGAGCGAAAACGACTTCAAACTTACTCTGCTTCTGATCTTCTCCTTCAAGAAAGGCCAAATGATACCGTAGATTGCTCGGGCCCACCATGGCGCGTCAATCACGTACACTTTCGTCACGCGTGCCGGGTAGCGATCCTGTACAAACACGTACACACACAGAATAGAAGTAGCAGCCAGTTTAGCAATGGTAAAGAGGGAAGATATTCAATACCTGTACCTCCAGAGCAAAGGTTTGACTGGGAATTTGCTTGGGGCGAAAATCATGGAATAGCTTGCAAACACTGGGAATGCTGGCTTCAATCCTACTCGACACACACACACCTACACACACACACAGGCGTGCACAGCGACACATCGCGATCCTCACCTGCAGCAGATCGAGGATCTCTACGGCCAGGCGGCGATCACTGAACCGCGCGCCGGCGTCGCGCAGGTTGATCACAAGAATGATACCGTTGCGCTGGGCGGCCGCTCTGAAGCACACAACAAACATAATGCACGCACGCACAAACACACACACACACATGCAAAATGCATGACATGTCCATGAAAAACAACAAAAACAAGACGGTAAGTTGTGGCTTTGGCAACTGTTCTGGAACATGCATTTCCAAAACGGCCGATTTCAAGAGCCAATGAGAGAGCACAGGTGCATACTAGCGGAGTATCGGTGAAGCTGCCTACACGCGTTGCATCAGAGAGTATAATCGCTGGGCCAACAGAGACATCAGCACAGAGCCGAGTCTAGGCGATCAGAGACGGATCGTCATTGCAACGCGTCCCGGTTACCGTAAAACATGTAATTTTAGGTGCATCCAAATTTCGGTGGCAGGGACCTGCCAGGTTTCAGGTGTAATTTAGAATTAGGTGACCAGCGTTCCCTTCACATACAGTACATACTCTAGTGCCTTTTAGGTGTGATTTAAATTTAGGTGCCTGGTTTCTCTACCGAAATCACCGAAATTAAAGTTGCACCGAAAATTGTATGTTTTACAGTACAGTTGAACATCGATTATCCGACCACCTCTGGGCAGACAACTGTCAGGCGGTGTTCAGATAAGGCAAATGTTCCGGATAAGAAAACACACTGTAAATGTACATGTACATTGTAAATAGAAGAGAGTGCTACTTTTCAAAATTGTCGTATTTTTTGAATGGCTCACTACATGCACAGTGCGTACTCTACGGCACGTGCGCCCAAAACAACTGTTACGGATAATCGAATGGTCGGATAGTCGATGTGCGGATAATCGATGTTCAACTGTACGTACTTGTACTTGTATATTGAGCGGACCAGTGAGGAAACTCATTCGCCTTCAAATCTCAAGGACAAGATTCGACTCATTGCCCAAATATGACTAGAGCTCTGAACAGGCACTCGCCTGTTCGCTCTCCGGCAACCGACAGTACTGTACATAGTGCGTGTCACCAGATTTGTATTGAATCTCTCTCTCTCTATAGTTCTGCCTGGTGTAGTTTTCCACACTGCTTCCGGCCACATGCCTCGTTCTACTCGGTGCAGCAAGCATCAACCACACTAAAACTCCCCAGATCCGAACGCCCCTAATCCGGGCACACGCCTCTGACTCATCTAGAGTCACAGAAAATGGCATTTCAACGAAAAAAGGCCCCAAAAACTATTGATTGGTATAAAAAAATGTTTACTGGCATTCACGTATGTTCTGAGCTACGGGCAATTCCTAGTTACAGACAGTGCTTGGTCCCAACCTGCTCGGATCTGGGGAGTTTTACTGTAGTGCAGCCGCGTTCTGACTGGCAGGTGATTTCAGAATCACATTCAACACTTAGAAGCAGGTTGATCAAATCACGCATGGCAACGTTGACGGCCGCGTTCACTTACGACAGCAAGCATTCATCGAGGTTGAAGAGGATGTTCTGCATAAGCAGCTCCTTGCCCTGCGGTGTGTCGAAGCCAGAGTACAGGGCCGTGGTGAAGACGGCTATGCGGCATCCCTCCTTCGACGTGCAGTCCTAAATGTACACATACACATTCGCACAAACACACACACACACACATTTGCACAGAACACACAAACACACGTGAGCATATCAAGAATGATGACATGTGTAGCAGAGAAGAAGAAGTTTCCAGATCGAGCTCAGGCGTTCAAAGCGCTCGCTGCCGCCTACACAGAATTCAAACCAGTCGTGAACATATTTCTAAACATTCCGTGAGCACTCATGCAAGGCCAGGGGTGCGAACAGTCGCACATCGCAGACGTGCCGTGGTGCGCTTGGTCAACCGAGGGACTGTCACACACCGAAAGGTGCACTATGGTGCTCTTGGAAAACCAAGCGGCGGGTGTGGGCTGCGACGCTGGAGCGTGAGCATCATCCTTCGCAAACGTTCATTCTCCTCCAGAGCGCAAGCCGCTGAACATAACCTGCCACCGCCACGTAACAATCAGTTCGTGACGCACGTGACTTGTCATGCGAACGACAAACAAACAAACACGTGCACTTGGCAGTCAGCACACGTGGCCACATGATATCCCAGTGTACTAACCCCCCTACCCCGTCCCCCATGCAACCACACACACAATACAATGAGGCACCCTGCCAGCCACTTACCAAGATCGTAAACTTGCCGGAAGTCAAGTCAGAGTGCAGTGGATCCTCCAGCGGGGCGAGAGAGTCCAGCGACAGCTCTGAACGTAACGACTGCGCACACCACCAGCGAGCAACGAACAGAAAGAGGAACACACATTGTAAGGAGTGAGCATGACATTAGCAGTACTCCAGGACATATCCGCACCTTTAGGATGACCAATACAATGAGAGAAGAGATTGCGGCTCAACACACTTTCTGCTTGCACTCGCATTTTTCCTGCTGCGAGTAGGGAGTTTCACTGCCATGACAGTGCTAATGATGCGGAGACATACTATCACACTACGTTCGGTGATGCTGGAAACATGATGGCGTTCAGATTTGCTTGACCGCTCGCTATTTCCTCCAGGTAAACCTGCCCGGAACAGGTGACATTTGCACACTCGCGATGTCACTAATGCTGGCATTGCACTACAGAATGCCATGTAGAGCGACGCTACAAGACGAACTACTAGTACTAGTAGTAGCTGTACTAGTAGTAGCTGCTCGTAATCCTGGGAGGGAATGGTTGACCTAAGGCTGAGTGAAGAATACACCATTTCAGTATTTCCATTCCCTCGTCACGTGACCAAAACAATAATTTGTCCTAATTGAGTTCGAGCGAAGCGAGCTGAAGCGAACCACACAGGCGACAATAGACTCTGGCAGACTGCGCTCTGTGTTCCGGAGCAATGCGTGTCTTCATCGTGAAGGAGACGCTCGTCTTGCGTGTCAGATAAACACGGCAACTGGAACGTCACGACATCGGAAACTTTGCCCGAAAAAATTAGTACGAAGAGGACACGGAAAGAAACAATCCCGAGTTGTACGCGTACAATTCTAGTCCAGCATAAAACGGTCGACTGACAGCCGACCAAATAGTAATAACAAAGCCAAATACAGTACACCAGACAGACGAAGTATGCACAAAAAGTAAACGGCTTCACCACATTTTCTTTTCGAAACACGGCAAACGATGACTGGACGACTCATCCCATCATTCACTCCAAAGGCAAAGAACAACATGTTCAACATACCCACACAACAGTTCAAAGCGTACCTTATAACGTTCATACAGGTCCAATGCCCGTTCCACATTAAACTTCCTCGCAGAGACCACCTTCACGGCCTCCTGCCAGGCAACCTTCTCACCTTTTTCCTGCAAAGTGCTGCAAAAGGTCTTGACGATCTGAGCAACAGTACATCAACCCACGCAAGGCTCGTGACTCAGGGCAAGCTCAACCGACCATTACCAAGCCAAGGGCAGTGGCATGCTTACCTCAGTCTCAGAGCTGGTCAGTGTCAAGTCTGCAGCTGCAGAGTCACCGACAGCAGCAGCAGTAGCCATTGTGTACAGCAATCTACTACGAGAAGTTCTGGTGCTATTCACAAGAAGTGAAAAATTGGCCAGGCGCAGAATTTTCCGCGACAAAGCTACGGAGTACGGTGACCAAATCACAGCTAGCTGCAGGCGAAATGCTACAGTTGAAAACTGGCTACTCGCTCGACATTGCTTTTGCAAGTACAAAAGCAAATACTACAAGTATGCAGCAAGCAAAAGAAAGAAGGACCTGGCCTGAACGGGAACTGCGCATCCAACAGAGTTCACGGAGAAGAAGCCTTTCGCTTCACAGAGTTGTCAGTTCTTGCAGCTCGACTCCGCCGCGGTTTGTACGAGCCCGTCAAGTGCTGTTTCTTGGATCACTGCTGATATCCATGCGAGATTTTTAGAAAATATCCGGGCGATGACTTGTTGCTACTCGTACCGGATCAAGTGCATGCAGCGGATACACACATCGATTTATCAAATCGATGCCACACGGGTCTGTAGATCGGGATTAGAAGCGAACTTTGGAAAAACGATCGGCCTAGCCAGCCAAATAAAATTTAATAATCATGATTATGCCCGCGGATCACGTGCATAATCATGCTCTTTTCGCGTAGTCTTTTGATCTTTTTGCTGTTGCATTTCAAAATGCAATGAGAAAAATGCAGACAAATAAAACGAAGTCAGAAATACAGTCTAACTCACAGTGAAGTCAAAAGAGTCTCTCTCTCTTGCCTGGTTCCTTCTGTGGATTTTCCTCATTTCTGATAGAGCGATTTGCGCACAGGCGGCGACATGAGGAGGTCTGTTCCTCCATCCCAGCTGTGTGCCTTGCAGCGGGCGCCGGAGCAGGTTCGAAATATTTGTATTCTAGCCCACGTTGATCACGGTACGTAGAACTGATGCAGTACAATCATGTTTACACTTACCTGTATGAGAGTTCGATGGGAACGCATTTATTGTATTGTTGTGATATTCACTGCACTCTATTTCGCTTGCACTGCTGTGATGTCGAGGGCTACGCAGATTGCGAGTTGGTGCGAAATAGAATTAAAATTAAATAATTCGAAATTCGAAAATAACATGTGTATGCATGCAATAATAATAATAATGTCTTTATTAGGATGACCCAGAGGCTTGTCGCCTATCAAGGGGTTCACCGCTTTGAAGGGAATGGATGAAATGCAATACAAATGCAAGCCCAGAAAACCAGAAAAAGGAAAATATGCTGTTTTACAGAAAGCAGCAACTTTCGACCTGTTCGTTATTTGGTCGAAACGCCCCTCCGTGCACATGCGATCTCCGGCCGACCTCGTTCACCACACTAGCAACACAACTCCAAGTTATAGTAGATACATGTACTGGCATAAATTCTTCCATGCCGCTGCTTTATTCTTTCATTCATTCAGACTTTATCTGAAGGACTCTCCAAAAGTAGGTGGATACTTAATTATTACTTATCAGGGGAGTTTCGTGGATGAGATGAAAGGGAAGTGAAAACTTCGATCATGCAGACCTCATCAGTGCAGGTTGTGAAAGTACTAAATGACTAGGACTTGTGAATAGCACACTGTTCTACAGAGAATTGCTGTGGAAATGAAATGGCGCAATCGCACGGGTACTGTGGACATACAAACAATTATCAAAAAGTATTCTTTCTAGACCAAAGAGTGGTATATTTGATAACATTTAATAACGATAGAAATTTCTATCGTTATTAAATGTTATCAAATATACCACTCTTTGGTCTAGAAAGAATACTTTTTGATATTACAATGAGAGTGAATAATCAACGGCTTGTCCACCAACTCTTTTTATACATACAATTGTCATGTGATATTGTAGGCCCACAAGATTATAGCACGCTGAAATAGCTCACTGAATTGTGACTACTAGTACTGAGGTGACAGTTCAGACTTCCCCGGGCTCTAGCACAGTACTGCCAGTAGTGGCGCGAGAGGCCTTTGGTAAGTCTTCCTTACCTTGTGACGCCTGGCCGTGTGATGACAGCGCAGCATGGTGGCGAGCATGTCACAGCGTATGGATAATGGAGTGAGTGCCACAGTGGAATCTCATGTGACTTACTTTGGTGACATCATGATGATGTCATTAACTTGCCCGGGTTAGGCCGGATGTATGAATATGATGTCAGAGAGGTAGACTTTGTGTGGGGGTACTGTAGATGGGGAAATTGCAGTATTTTTGGCTCTCCATTGTCCCAATGAAGTCGGATGTTTTTCGAACTTCGGTATAGAACATATGGCACCCTACCAGTATCCCGACTGGAAAAAAATTCTGGTTAAAAGTTCGTTGTTGCAGAGATACAGGAAAGAAATCGGTTATTCCCCATCTACTCCCATACAAAGTCTATCTCTCTGACGTCATAAATCCGGCCTAGTCTGGGCAAGATAATGACATCATCATGATGTCACCAAATTTAGTGAAAACTTCAAACTGTTATAACTCGGGAGCTACTGCTCCGATCAACCTGGGACGTTCACCATTGGAATCAGTGCCCTTCACTCGCGTGCTCGGAAGGAGCCCCTCACCTCCAGACAATTCTCATTGTTAAAGGGGAAGTTAAGGCAAAAATTAAAATTTCACCAGTTGTCTTCGGGGTGCTGAGTCGAATGGTCGTGGTCCGAGGAAGCTGAGACGCTCCCTTCCTACTTGAATCCCAATCGAACTCGCGGACTTCCACCGAAACTGGGTGACTGCGCCCTACTAGATGGGGATTTGTATGCAAAATGTCACTAAAAGCGCCATTTCGTTCTTATAAAAGCATGGATGACCGCGATTGGCCCATATGTTGTAGTCTTTTGGACGCTGAGTCGATTAGTTTTGGTCCGAAAAGGCTGCGATGCAGCGTTCCTCCTTTATTCCCAATCGAACATGGTTGAAGAAGCGGTCACGTGCTCCTGTGTACACCAGTCACCTGGTCACCGTGCCTGCAGGGTACAACTTACTAGCCTGTTTGACCTTTTTTGGGTGCAGTCCTGTCACTCGAGTTGAACTCGAGTTGAACCTTGGTGTGAAAGTTGTCGCCTGCTGGCGTGGTGACCAGGTGATTTGGGCACCCAGGAGCACGTGACCGCTTGTTCAACCATGTTCGATTGGGAATAAAGGAGGAACGCTGCATCGCAGCCTTTTCGGACCAAAACCAGTCGACTCAGCGTCCAAAAGACTACAACATATGGGCCAATCGCGGTCATCCGTGCTTTTATAAGAACGAAATGGCGCTTTTAGTGACATTTTGCATACAAATCCCCATCTAGTAGGGCGCAGTCACCCAGTTTCGGTGGAAGTGTGCGAGTTCGATTGGGATTCAAGTAGGAAGGGAGCGTCTCAGCTTCCTCGGACCACGACCATTCGACTCAGCACCCCGAAGACTACAACTGGTGAAATTTTAATTTTTGCCTTAACTTCCCCTTTAAGGATTGCTTGTAGTGCAGTGGATATTGTTGCTGCTGCTGCTGCTACAATAACATGTTTTCACATTTTATTGAACTCACAAACCAATGATAATATGAATGCTGCTGCTGTTAACGTAGACGCTGCGAAGAACTTGGCCATTTGACATTTTGAAGCACTCCGCCGCTCCACACTGCGTTCTTGCTGTTGCTGCTCCTGGTAAATATTTGACGAAAGTGTCAGCTCCGAACGTCGGAGCTCGCGCTTCCTGCCGACTGACTTGACACTTGACTGACTCACGACTGCGTCTGGAGCGCACGAGAAGAACATCTTTGGTAAATATTTGTTTATTTTTTTGTCATACAGGAAAGACTACTCTAGCTGACTCTTTGGTCGCCAGCAATGGAGTCATATCGGCAAGGATGGCGGGAAAGGTATGTAATATAATGAGACACACCTTTGATTTGGCTTTTGGACTTCACGCTTTTAAGTTCTGTCCTGCCTTATTTCATACTTTGGTTCATGTGCATGTATTGTAGCATCTCACCTTGATTAGAGACATTGTTATTGTCACACTGTGTGTGTGTGGAGCTTGATTAGTAGAAGTTTGTTGTGAGGTGGCGTTGTGCGTGCGTGTGTGTGTGTTTTGTGTGTGTGTGTGTGCGTGTGTGTGTGTGTGTGTGTGCGTGTGCGTGTGCGTGTGTTGGCATTTGCCCACTGAACACCCTTCACCATCAGTGTATTCGCACAATTCTCGGTATCTCTCGTCGTGCACAATGGGGGAGGTTGTCGTCGGCCTCGCTGAGTGAGCTGGCAGGGGTGGACGTTGACATGGCTGAGGTCATCAGGAAGCACCGCTTGCGGTGGCTTGGTCATGTTGCACGGATGAAGGAGACCCGGCTGCCCAAGCAGATGCTGTTCGGTGAACTGCCCTGCAAACGCCCGCAACATGGTCCCAAGAAGCGCTGGCGGGATGTTGTGTTCTCGGACTTTACTGTCATCGGTTTACCTGAAGCGGACTGGTATGACACAGCGCAGGGGAGATCCACCTGGTTTCAGTGTTGTCAACAGAGGGTCGAGAAAGAAGCCCCAGCCATCCCGTGCCCAAACTACCGCTGTGACAGAGTGTTCCGTCGTCCTGGTGACCTCAAGCGGCATGCACCATACTGCAGATTTCGGGTTTAAATTAGACCCTCAGCGTGAGGAAGCCATCGCTATCATTGCTACGGCAATGGGCGTTCAAGGTTCAAGGTGTTCGCACACATAATTATGTGCTTGTATGTGTACGTGTGTGTGTGTGTACGTGCGTGTATGCGTGTGTGATTATGGTGTGCGTGATCTGAATTCGAAAATACTGTGTGTTTACTGGCATTCATGTGCTTGTGCGTGTGCACGCATGTGTGTATGTGCATGCTTGCCGGTGTTGTGTAGCTGCGTTACATGGACAGCCGTGAGGATGAGCAGCTGAGAGGAATCACCATGAAGTCCAGTGCCATTGCACTGCTATTTGAGAAAGGTACGCAGGTAGCCATTGCGTGCAGTACTATCGGGTTCCGAAGAACTGGGGGATCAACCTCGTAGCCTAGACCCTTCTTATTTTCATGTATTATGGTCTATGCACAGTTGAGTCACCAAGTATGCATTGGAGTGCTGTGCTTGGTGAGAGTCTAACCTCCTGTTCATTCTTCAGCACCCGACAGTACTGCAGTCTCTGTGGACGTGCATGAGGAGAGAGACAGAGAGACAGAGAGACAGAGAGACAGAGAGACAGAGAGAGAGAGAGAGAGAGAGAGAGAGAGAGAGAGAGAGAGAGAGAGAGAGAGAGAGAGAGAGAGAGAGAGAGAGAGAGAGAGAGAGAGAGGGAGGGAGGGAGGGAGGGAGGGAGGGAGGGAGGGAGGGAGGGAGGGAGGGAGGGAGGGAGGGAGGGAGGGAGGGAGGGAGGGGGGGGGGGGAGGGAGGGAGGGAGAGAGACAGGGAGGGAGAGAGACAGGGAGGGAGAGAGACAGAGAGAGACAGAGAGAGAGAGAGAGACACAGAGAGAGAGAGAGAGAGAGAGAGAGAGAGAGAGAGAGAGAGAGAGAGAGAGAGAGACAGGGAGGGAGAGAGACAGAGGGAGACAGAGAGAGACAGAGAGAGAGAGAGAGACAGAGAGAGAGAGAGAGAGAGAGAGAGAGAGAGAGAGAGAGAGAGAGAGAGAGAGAGAGAGAGAGAGAGAGAGAGAGAGAGAGAGAGAGAGAGAGAGAGGGAGGGAGGGAGGGAGAGAGAGGGAGAGGGATTGTTGGTGTACGTTGGCTGCTGTGTTTTGTATAATAATTGAATGTCGACATGACAATACAATTTTGATGAGAATGTCCTTGAGAAGTTCAGCTTCTACTTTTCACACCCTTGAACTACCTCTCGGCTGGAGATTTGCAGCAGGTGTGCCTGTTTGCGTATGTGTGCGCGCATGCGTGTGTGTGTGTGTGTGTATTTAACGTGGTGTGTGTGTGTGTGTGTGTGTGTGTGTGTGTGTGTATGTGTGTGCGTCTTTAACGGGGTGGGTGTGCTTGTGTGCTTGTGTGTGTGTGTGTGTGTGTGCGCGCGCCGGGTTCTCTGACTGGTTCTGCAGCCCAGAAGGAGTACCTGATCAACCTTGTGGATTCACCGGGCCATGTGGACTTCTCCAGTGAGGTTAGAATGCCTGATTAGACTCAAAACTATGCTACATACATTGTCCATTGCATGCACGGTACTACAGTAAAGCACCGCCAGAGCGCCCCGTCTCGCGAGAGCGCCCCACCTTGATTTTACAGCCAGGGAAAGGAAAATCGTGTGGCAGAGTGCAACGAAGTTTGTACGGTGCGAGAACCGTAGCGTACTAAGGTCGCACTTAGCAGGTTTTGGTGTGGAGCTCGTGTCCGCTCGAAGGTACGGATTGACTGCATAACGTGCAATATGACTGTGCACAAAGTTCGTGTCGTATGACCTACAGACAGGAGACCACCTCCACGAAAAGACCACGAAATGACGAGATGGTGGGGGCGCTCTCGCGATACTTTACGGTACTACCTGTGTGTAAGTGCCTGTGGGTGGTCGTACAGGTGACAGCACCCGCGCCAACTTGCTTTGAATTCATGGTCCTCGTGCGTGCAGTACTATCTGTTTTCCTGTCAACACGGCCAGTGTACGCGGCAACCGTTGCTCTGTTTTCTGGTTCATACGTATGTCCGATTCAGGTTGTTCGAATGCATGCGTGCAAGCTATTGTGAAACAGTGCAGTATTAGGGCGTGCTCACGCTGCAACATGAAAGGGGAAGTTAAGGCAAAAATTAAAATTTCACCAGTTGTAGTCTTCGGGGTGCTGAGTCGAATGGTCTTGGTCCGAGAAAGCTGAGACGCCCCCTTCCTACTTGAATCCCAATCGAACTCGCGCACTTCCACCGAAACTGGGTGACTGCGCCCTACTAGATGGGGATTTGTATGCAAAATGTCACTAAAAGCGCCATATCCTTCTTATAAAAGCACGGATGACCGCGATTGGCCCATATGTTGTAGTCCTTTGGACGCTGAGTCGACTGGTTTCGGTCCGAAAAGGCTGCGATGCAGCGTTCGCCCCCAATTCCCAATCGAACATGGTTGAACAAGCGGTCACGTGCTCCTGCGTACACCAGTCACCTGGTCACCGTGCCTGCAGGGTACAACTTACAGCCTGTTTTGACCTTTTTTTAGTGCAGTCCTGTCACTCGAGTTGAACCTTGGTGTGAAAGCTGTCGCCTGCTGGCGTGGTGACCAGGTGATTTTGGCACCCAGGAGCACGTGACCGCTTCTTCAACCATGTTCGATTGGGAATAAAGGAGGAACGCTGCATCGCAGCCTTTTCGGACCAAAACCAGTCGAATCAGCGTCCAAAAGACTACAACATATGGGCCAATCGCGGTCATCCGTGCTTTTATAAGAACGAAATGGCGCTTTTAGTGACATTTTGCATACAAATCCCCATCTAGTAGGGCGCAGTCACCCAGTTTCGGTGGAAGTGCGCGAGTTCGATTGGGATTCAGGTAGGAAGGGAGCGTCTCAGCTTTCTCGGACCAAGACCATTCGACTCAGCACCCCGAAGACTACAACTGGTGAAATTTTGATTTTTGCCTTAACTTCCCCTTGAAGTTCGCGTCCACGCGACAGCTTGACGAAGAAATGTGATGATCGTGCTCACACTACATTTAAAAATAACGCCCTAGGCTATGTTGCGTTTTCAGATTTCTTGACGTTTGGGAAAAAAATTGTATCTCCAGTTCAAATCGAGTGAGTTTTTTTCAGGCAATGAGCACTCATAGTACTTCTTTTGAAGTAATTTTCATGCAAGGCTGTGTAATTTGTATAGCCTTCTCAGTGCTGTGCGTGTGTGTGCGTGTGTGTGTGAGTGTGTGTGTATGTGTGTCAATAGTGGCGGTCAATTCATCAGCCTTGCAAGCTGTTGAATGGTGTAATCCCAGCACAAGTTGCTATGTCTAACATAGCTGTTCGCTATCATCGCTTCCGCGATGGGCATGTCTGAGGTCTGAGGTGTGTCTGTGTTTGTGTGTATGTGCATGCGTGCGTGTGTGCATGTGTGTGTGTTTTCGTTTTCGTTATCAGGTTTCAACGGCTGTACGCGCCTGCGATGGTGCCATTGTGCTGGTGGATGCGGTGGAGGGCGTCTGCCCACAGGTATGATGGCAATGGATGGCTGGTTTTCTGGTGTTGTGGTACCCGCATTACAACTCCCCCAGCACTCTTCTTTTTTTCATTTTTTTTCAACACGACTCATCACACAGCATGGGGCTGTGTTCCCAAAAATAAGTTAGAAAATGGATAAAATAGCAATAAGGAGAACAAATTCTGCTGTCATCGTCACACTACCACAGAGTCGTGAAAGCTTTCCAAAATCGAAGGGGCGAATGACGAAATGGACAGACAAGTTGAATACAAACAAGAACACGATAAGCAACAAACGCACAGGAGGGAAGCGAGAAATGGCAGCTAATCTCGTGAGATGTGGGCTTCCGACACTGCCAGATTCTCGATATGCACCGTGCAACCTACAAGTACATATAGTTATTAAAAACGATGAAAGAGGAAGGAAAACGAACCTGATTAGAGCAGAAACGAAACGAACTTATAATGAACTGGGTGGTACACTGTTTTGAGATTCTGTAAAGCACCAAAACTATGGAAACAATTCTCTTTATTCCCGTAGCTATGCAGAAGACGTTACTTCAGTAACGTCTGGCGCTAGCCAGGGTCCACACAGCTTTAATTTGGTGTTTGTTTGTGTGTTTGTTTGTGTCACGCCTGGCGCTATCCATATCTGACGGCAAAAAAGCATAGGATGTTATAAATTTTTCAATTCTCCTTTTTTTCAGGCATATCCTGGGATTCGAACCCGCACTATCGCCCTACATGCATTCCCCCATACACTTCGCATTCATACCCATTCTTCCAAGTTGCTTTACGTTATTATCTTGCGTTTGAAAGCCCTATTTGAATATTGCGGGCAGCTGTATGTGGCCAGCTGTGTTTGATGGTACGGTACGGGAGACGGTGTCGTATTACCCTCGATCGTACCTGTCCCGTACCTATCCCCTACCGTACCGTGCCATCAAAGACGGCTGGCCACAATGCATATTCAAATAGGGCTTTCAAATGCAAGATCACAATGTGAAACAACTTGGAAGAATTAGGTTGCGTTTGGTTGGGCATTTTCAGAATGTAAATGACAACCATTCTGGAATGGGAATCGGCAAGAATCACCTGACCAAACTAACGCGCCAGAATCAATTAGGAATCACTAGACATAACAATTCCATGATGTCGTTGTGGAACGGCGGCTGTCTTTTCTTTTACCCGACTCTAGTTTCCTTGAGAGAGTCATGGTACTTCTGAGTGCATGATTTGAGGCACTTGAACCTGTTGCTACATTGTTTGGCTCGTGGCAGCCATTATCATTTTTGATTCCGGAATGAGAATGCTCATTCCAGCATATGAGGTGGAATGATCATTCTCCAAAAAGAATCATTCTCAGCGATTCCCATTCTGGAATCATGTGGAATGTGACCAACCTAACGCACTTTTTTGACCAACCAAACGGGCGAGAATGATTCCGAGTGATTCCAAGTGATTCCCATTTGGGAATGTGACCAACCAAACGTAACCTTAGTATGTATGCGAAGTGTATCGGGGGATGCATGCAGGACGCGCGATAGTGCGGGTTCGAATCCCAGGTTGTGTCTTAAAAAAAAGGAATTTTTTAAAGAATTTATAACATCCCTATGCTTTTTTTTTGTCTAGGTCATCAAGGCAAAAAAGCATAGCGTAGGGCCCTGAGCTTCCAAGCTCTCTCGTTAAAGCACCCGTTTCACGTGGGAAATGTGTACGGCTGACATCAGCATGACTTTGTGCACGTAGGCTATTGCGTCTGAGTGCCAACAGAACAGTATAAATCATTATTCTCGTTGTTGTTGTTGTTGTTGTTGTCTGTCTCGGTCGCTATTCTCCAGACACATGTCGTTCTGCGGCAAGCGTGGCGTGAGGGAGTCAAGCCGGTTCTGGTTATCAACAAGATCGACCGCCTCATCAGCGAGCTGCAGATGACGCCGACCGAAGCACACTTGCACCTGTCACAAGTTCTTGAGCAGGTAAGGTCTAGCCAGGAACACACTGCGCAGCTTCTACATGTAGCGTACTGTACAAGCAGAAATATTCGTCGGGAATTTGATTTCGGCCTTTTCGGACTAAATTCAGCGCAGGACCAAAATGTCGAGTCGTCTAGCCTTACTCGTTGTTTCAACATCAAAGGACGAACATTTCCATCAGACAAACTGTCTTTCTGTTAGGGCGCGTTTGGTTGTTACGTACTAGAACAGGATTCACCAGAACAGTGCGTTTGGTTGGGACTGCACCTGTTCTGGGTCGGCCAGAACATGTTCTGCTTGCTCCGGCCTTGCGGCCGGAGCAGACCGAGCAGTTTCACTTTTTCACAGTGAAACCTGGCGGGAACATCGATTTTGGTCCCAAATGATCACGTGCAAACGCTTTTGGGTCGGATTCGTTGTACCGTACAAAGTGACCATGGTGACCCACACGCATTTTGAAGAATGCACCAAGTTTGGCACATTTTTCACAAAAATGTGCTCTGTTTCTGGAGTACCGTTTGGTTGACAAGAGGCTGCTCCATGTGCACCAGCTGTTCGATCCTGTTCTAGATCGTACCAACCAAACGTACCCTTAGAGTTGGACGGAATTATTCACTGACTAAATGTTCTGCTTTAAATACGCAGTACTGTACACCGTGGTACACCTGTCATCTTGCTGCGTGTTGGCCAGTGCACTTGTCATACTACATATGCAGGCCTGCCGGAACCGGTCCGGTTGGTCAGGTTAACACCGGACCAACGTTGTAGCTACCAACACATGTTTTCTGCTGAGGAGGGCCTGCGTCCCCGCCATATACACAAAGTGTATGAAAGACTATGGTAGGATCGGACCAGTTGGAAACTGCAGTTCCGGCGGTCCTGACATGTAGACAGTGGTGTTGCATCCATCACATGACCATGTTGCTTCCAATTCCACTCAACCCCTGTATCTATGGGTCACAGCTTCTATCGTACTCTCCACCTTAGAACAACTGTCTTGCTACTCGCTGGCCAGGTGTACTTGTCGCATTACATGTATGTTTCAAGTGGATCACATGACTATACAGGACAGGCATGTTGATACCCAATTCCACTCAATCTCTGCCCGCATCTATGGATCACATGACCGTTCAGGACAGCCATGTTGATAACCAACACCACTCAATCTCTGCCCCCATCTATGGGTCACATGACGTCGGCCATGTTGATTCCACTGTCCGCACGCCATGATCACTTTATGCATGAACTCAGTCACATGACAAAGATGTGAACACCACTTCATACTGTACGTGGGGGGGGGGGGGGGAGGGGTGCATGTGTGTGTGTAGTGTACGCATGCATGTGTGTGCGTGTATGTGTTTCTGACTGCATGTTTGACTGCTGTTGCTGTTGTTTTCATTCTCTTGTTGATACTGTGCATGAACATTGCAGGTGAATGCGGTCACCGGCAGTCTGTTCGCTACCGAGGTGATGGAGACAGCAGAGGTGAGTGCTTTGTTTTCCCAGCCATGCAGGGCGATTACTAGTAGCAACCGTGAACTTGTTTGCGGGTTCCAGCAGTGCCATGTCCTACCCAGCACAGATTAGCAAACGAGTTCACAGCGAATTATTGCACTAATACTGTGGGCTGTGCATTCGGCCAGCTCTGGGCTTTTTTCACCTCATCTGATGAGCTCATGAGAGATAGATAATCATAGAGGAGTATCCAGGGGTGAAAAATAGTAGAGAGAGAGGGGGCATTTCTTGTGAGGACATTGCAGTTTGTGACGTGCAAGCACATGCTAGTAACGGGTAGGGGTTTGGCTGGACAACGAGTGCGGGTATTTCTATCCGGGTAGCACGGGTACCCTATCGGGTATTTTTTTTAACATACCGGTAGTTTGTACAGTGAGCGTGCACTTGCGCTACATAGAAAATGTACAGTAAGCAGGTAGCCGTGCTTTTTACGTGCACCGTTGCCGAAACACCATGCTCCAATTACCTGATCGGGTTCTCAGCAGCAAACTGATAGCTGAATACCCGCTCTAATTACAGGTGGCACGGGTGCCCGACTACTCGATGACACCCCTAGTTGAGAGTATTGGCACTCTTGAGCTGCAATTCCTATCTTTAGTTCATCTCCGTCTGTGGTCTAAAACTCTCAGGACAATACAGCAAACTATACTCTATTGCACTCTCTCAATAGGGTCTGGGCCTCCTTGGTGTTTGGGTCCACATCTTGATGGAATGTGTGTGTATGTGTGTGTCTGTGTGTCTGTGTGTGTGTGTGTGTCTGTGTGTCTGTGTGCTTCTGTGTGTGTGTTGCGTGCGTCGGCGCACATGTGAGCGCGCACATGTGTGTTGTGTGTATGAGCGTGCATGCATCTGTGTGTATGTATGCGTGTGTACGTGTATGCATCCACTCGATTTTGTTCTTCACAGCGTGAGGCGGAGGAGGCTGGAGATGATTCAGCCACTCCTAGCAATGGCAGCAAAGAGAAAACCTTTGAGGACTGGGAACTTGGATTCGACAAGAAAGATGAAGATGCGCTCTACTTCTGTCCGGACAAGGGAAACGTTGTGTTTGCCAGTGCAGTTGACGGCTGGGGATTTCGGTAAGCTCACCGTGGGTGGGCTGTGCTTTTCTTTAAGCATTGGAGTGTGTGCGCGTGTGTGCGTGTGTGTGTGTGTGTGTGTGGATTCACTGGCCAGAAAAAGTCACTTCAAACAGCTGTGTGGTGTAGACCAGGCTAAAAATAGTCGCGGTCAATTCATCAGCCTTGCAAGATGTTGAATGGTGTAATCCCAGCACAAGTTGCTATGTCTAACATATCTGTTCGCTATCATCGCTTCAGCGATGGGCATGTCTGAGGTCTGAGGTGTGTGTGTGTGTGTGTGTGTGTGTGTGTGTGTGTGTGTGTGTGTGTGTGTGTGTGTGTGTGTGTGTGTGTGTGTGTGTGTGTGTGTGTGTGGTGTGTGTGTGTGTGTGTGTGTGTGTGTGTGTGTGTGTGTGTGTGTGTGTGTGTGTGTGTGTGTGTGTGTGTGTGTGTGTGTGTGTGTGTGTGTGTGTGTGTGTGTGTGTGTGTGCAATTAGTGGCAGTCAATTCATCAGCCTTGCAAGCTGTTGAATGATGTAATCCCAGCACAAGTTGCTATGTCTAACATAGCTGTTCGCTATCATCGCTTCCGCGATGGGCATGTCTGAGTCTGAGTATGCAATACCAATTTGTTTTGTCAATTGCCTCATCAATGCCATGTACGTTGCTGTTGCTGTGACCGTGCATGTGTGCGTGTGTGTGTATCTGTGTGTCTGTATGTCTGTCTGTATGTCTGTGTGTGTGTGTGTGTGTGTGTGTGTGTGTGTGTTTAGGGTATGTGACTTTGCCAGTCTCTATGCCAGTAAGCTGGGTATCAGCGAGAAGATTCTACGAATGACACTTTGGGGCGACTACTACTTGAACATGAAGTCGAGAAGAATCCTGAAAGGGGCTCAGGTAAGAGGGGATGTGTGTGTGTGTGTGTGTGTGTGTGTGTGTGTGTGTGTGTGTGTGTGTGTGTGTGTGTGTTTGTGTGTGTATGTGTGTGTGTGTGTGTGTGAAAAAATGAAAAATGAAAAATAGGGATTCACTGGCCAGAAAAAAGCCACTTCAATCAGCTGTGTGGTGGATACCAGGCTAAAATTAGTGGCGGTCTATTCATCAGCCTGGCATGCTGTTGAATGGTGTAATCCCAGCACAAGTTGCTATGTCTAACATAGCTGTTCGCTATCATCGCTTCCGCGATGGGCATGTCTGAGGTCTGAGGTGTGTGTGTGTGTGTCTTGGAAGTGTCAAATGTACGGCACTCTCTGTACCTCCATGACTAGACAGTGACATGTATATGTACCTCGTTCTAGGACTACCTCAGTCTGAATTCCGTTGCTTGTTGAGACCCGAGGTGTAGCAATTCAGAGACCTTGTAAAACCTACTATTTGTAGTACATGTTTTCACGCTGGCAGCCTATCAGGCAAGGCGTTGCATATACCATACTGCAGTACAGTAGAACTGACGCAGTACACACCCTGATAAGACATTACAGTGCGTTTCAAAAATATAGACGTGTGATTTCAAAAAACCGTTAGGCCAGCATCTATACCACATAAAATCTGTGATCACTTTGTGCATACAAATTTCGAAATTGGGCGTTTGCTATCCGATCGCTTAAAAATCTATATGACAGTAATTGCGTGAAGGACCTGAGCAATACTCCGGAAAAAGTTCTCAAAGATAACCAGAGAATTTTTAAATATTTCAAAAATACCACGCGTCTATATTTTTGAAAATTTTAATGGACTGTAATCTTGCTTAGTACACACACACACTTTGTCCAGAGCACGGGGGTACAGTATTGATCCATGCTAGTGCCATGTGGCTGCCTCATCATCTCCTACTGTATTGCTTTGTGCCATTGCTGTCTGCTCCAGGCCAAGGGCAAGAAGCCGCTGTTTGTTCAGTTCATCCTGGATAACATGTGGGCGGTCTACGAAGCCATCAGCAATCGGTAAGAATGCTCACGGCCATGGAGCATGCATGACAATCTGCAGCTCTTGAGCACATGTTTTTCGGGGGGGGGGGGGGGGGGGGGCTCGTGGCGAATAGCAACGGGTCGTGCCGAGGGAAGTGTACGTTTAGAGCATTGGGCAAATAGTTCAGAGGCTTAAGATGCAATATGCAATCACTAAATAATTCGCCACGCGCTCCAATATTGTCGGATCATTACAAACGAGGGCTCTACGTCTTCAGGAAGACCTTGGCTATCAACTACACGTAGCGTTTCAACTCCTTTGTTGAGAGTTGGTGCACGGTGAAGCTCGAAGCTAGAGCGCGATCTAAAATGTACATTCAAACATTTTGAGTTGCTCTCAACCTGACAATAACGTTGCTGCCTTCTTGCTTACCTTCGCGCATTGGGGCTAGAAATCCTTCGGGTTTGGGATGCTTTCGTGAGATATTCGACTAGTTACTCTGAGCTTCGAATTTTACAAAGCGGCGAATCTGTGTGTGTCTGTCTTTCTGTGCGTCTGTTTGTTTGTCTGTGTGCACAGGGACAGCGAGAAGATCGCCAAGATCACCAAGTCCATGAACCTGACGCTGGCAGCGCGTGACCTGCGCAGTGCCGATCCCAGGGTGCTGATGACGGCAGTGTGTGGCCAGTGGCTACCGTTGGCTAATTGTCTGCTTGGCATGGTCGTTGAGCATCTCCCGTCGCCGCTGGATATGACTGCACAGCGTGCTGAGAACTTGCTCTGCGGCGGACAGCGCGCCCTGGGATCCTACCCGCCGTGCACCCGGGCACTCAAAGACGGTGTGTTTTGTATCCTTGATCTGTGGGTGTATGTGTTTGTAGGGACGGGGAATGGGGTCTGTGGGTGTATATGTGTGTGTGGGTGTATATGTGTGTGTGGGTGTATATGTGTGTGTGGGTGTATATGTGTGTGTGGGTGTATGTGTGTTTGTTGTAGGGACGGGAGATGGGATCTGTGTGCCATGGCTTCTGCTCTAGTATCCCTTGAAGACAGTACTTCAACTACTGTAACCACCCAATGTTCACGTCGCTAAATTTGTGCGATCTCTCAGAACCAGCGAGTTTACGATTTCAAATGTTTGCGGAGAACTGTGGCCACACATCACAGCCACTGTTGGAGTTTGATTTCTCGATGGTTAATATTTGCGTTATGCTGTTCTCGCAAAATTAGCAAACATTTTAAATACGTCGCAAACATTAGGCAGTTTACAGTATGTAAGGCCGACAGCTATGTACCCTGTTCCGTGACCTTGTTTGTATTTGCAAATAGTGTGGTTTCGCCGCCGTGCTCCCTCTGCTGTGTCCTGCTCAGATCTACTATCCTGCTCATCGTCAGAGCAGGCGCCCGTGATTGCGTTTGTCTCCAAGATGTTCTCAGTGAAGAAGTCCGACCTGGCACACAACAAGACTAGGTGAGACAGAGAGAGAGAGAGATAAGAGAGATAAGAGAGACGACATGGAGGAAAACAACTCAATAATGGTGCCATAGGGAATAGTGTGTGTTCGACTGCACGGTGCATTCAAACAGCGTAACAGTACAAAACCGCACACTTAGATGCCCCGTTGAAGTTTAAGGAGGCTCCAACCCTTTGGGGGTGATTTTTTTTCTTCATAAACCCTCTCCTTTTTGTGGATGAGTGTGCTCTATATCATCCCATGTTACTTCACAAAAAAATTCAGGGGGTGTTTCCGCAGAGATAAGGCTGTTTGAGGTGTATTTCTAGGGGTGGGTGTATTTATCGATTTCAGCCTAAATTTGCTTGTTTTGGGGTCATATTTCAGATTTACCAGTTGTCTGGCTTCTCTTTGTGATTGCAAGTCCTTTCACACATCACAGTGAAGCATTTGAGCAAGAAAATCTGGCAATCAGCATTGACTACTCAGAAAAATAGTAATTTTGGTACAAAAATGAACTTCGCAGAAATGCCCGTCCGCAAAGTACAATTGGGTGCACAGCTTCATATTTTCTTCATGGACATGCCCTTTTTATTTTATTTTTGGGATCCCCATACTTCATAGAAACTAGAAATATATAATTTTAGGGGGGTTACCGTGCATTTTAGACCTCCAAAAATAAAAATAGGATCAAAAATTGGCCGATTTTCCACCATTCTTGGAATTGCTATTTTTCAGGTAAGGTGATCATTCCATGCATTCCTTGTGGTATTACTCCAATTTTTTGTGTCAAAAGCATTGAATGGTCCCCCAGATTGTTATAGTATACATGGAGACTAGATGAGGCCATGGTTCCTGGGCTTTTTAGCCCTTGATCTGGATATCGGCATGATCCATGCACAACGTTATTCATGATCCAGGCCGAGGCCTACTGACCCTGAGCACAGTTCAGACCAGCTTTGCATCACAACTCTTGCAATAGTTCACTCCTAGTATTTCTCATAAAGCAACAGGCAAAGAGCTTGAGGAGGATAACAATTATTGTTATATTCTGGGGGGGGGGGGGGGGGGGGCAGTTTCATGTTTGTAGTACATGTACAATGTAGATGCAGGTTCAACTCAATATTGGCAATGAACGACTGCTACCCGTAGTAATCAGTGTAGCATCCATTAGGTATAATCATACACTATTCCCAATAACATGGAACAACCACAAGTGTATGTGGGTGCATGCGCATTGCACACATTGATACATACATGTACGCTTACATGCACATGCTCACAAACAAGACCCCCTTGCACACACAAATACACGTACGTCATATACGCGCACCCGCAATAGCATACACCCACATGCAAAATGCATGCTCTTGAGCTTAGTTACCATATTCTGCTGTCCATGCACTTGTGCACGCGTGCACGCGCACACACAACATGCACTGCGCGCGCGCGCGCGCGCGCGCACACACAAACAACATTTAGGCTCACACGCGTGCCTGCGTATGTGCATGCACATAGTGCTTATGGGTAGAGGTGCATGCATTCATCATAATAGAACTGGTGCGAGTAGTGTAGGAATATTTTCAAATCACTGGTGCTGTACAACACAACATTTACACAACATTTACAAAATACTTCACACACTGACAATAGAGAATAGTACTGCAAAACATCATACTCAATTTTCAGTGCTGTATTTTATTCAAGTGGACGCAGGTGATGACTTACTGCTGGCGACGTTGGCACCTGACAGGTCACAGCTTTCGTAAATAGCCCAAGTCACTGAGCAGTAGCTCACCAACGATTTACCACTCACTCAAGACTGCAATGTTTTCAGCGTAGGAATATATTTCGCCACTTGAGAATTAGAAGTGGATCCACTTACCAGAGTCTGTGCACCCACTTCAGTCTCTCTCTCCAAAACGCGCTTACAGTAGGTTTTGGTCCCTGGTGTTACACTGCCATCGAGACGCTTGGCTCCGTTCTCCTTGTTCATTTTTTCGTCAAGCAAAATTATTCAGGATCTCGAGAAATCGAGCTGTAAAGTCAACTTCTTGCTCACACCAGCGATGCTTTTGAAAACATGCCCTGATACCCACTGACACAACGGAGGAAAAAACAACAGGAACCTCGATGGGGCCCAGGGAAGACTACAGGTGCAGAATGAAACAATATTCTCTGATAAGACTGTCGATCGCGGAGTTCAAATTTTAGTAAGTTGAGATGGGAATTTCCCAACTTTTCGCACTTATCGGCAAAAACAAGACTTTTGCCTGCAAAAAACAGAGCGCCAGACCGGCTGCGCAGCGCAGAAGGTTGGAGCCTCCTTAAATCACTAGTATTAAGCCAGGCTGCCATCAACCTTCCAGTCCGCGATCTCGAAAATTGGTGGTTAGCACTCCATGAGAAAAGTATCATTAGGGAGGTTCCGGAGTACGATTTTTCGTGCCAAAATCCGTAGAGGGTCTACGGAGTTTTTATACGTCGTTTTCGAGCAGTGAAATGTTCCGGAGTACGGAACTTATGTGTTTGCCGTCATTGCCTAGGTTACGATCGCAAACACGTCACATTCCCGCGCTATGCCTTTATACTTTGAACATTTGTACCGAAATCCAAACTTCCAGTGAAAAATCGATGTTTCTCGTACCAAATTTGTACGCAAAACATCTTTCTGCACCCGATGACGCAAAATCTCCATACGAAACATGGTTCGTATGAAAGCCAGTCCACATGGATTCTCCGTGCCGAAAAATCGTATGGAGCACCCCTGGAAAAAATCCGTAGCGCCCATACGGGTTTTGGCACGGAAAATCGTACCCCGGAACCTTTCTATTAGCTGCGTGCGTGTGTTGTAATCGGAAGGGGGGGGGGGGGGCGTGTATGTTTTACCTGGTGTAGCCTATGGATACTGCTGCTGCACATGTTGCTGCGCTGGTACTATGACTGTTGTTCTTGCTGTCATTGCCACTGTCTCTCTCATTGCTACCTTGTTGCATTGCATACACCGTCAGTGTGACGACAGCCCGGCCAATGCCCACCATGGCCGTCAGTGCCGAGGAGATCGCCGCCAGGAGGCAGCAGGCCAAGCTGATGTCGCAGCAACGCACCGCCGGCAACACCACCACCGACGGCTCTGCTGACAATGCAGGTACGTTGACAGGTGTGTAGCCCGCATGAGGTACGGGGGGGGGGGGGCACGTGCCCCCCCCCCCTAAAAATGTCGACCTAGGCTCATCATGCACATGCTGTAGTGTCCCCGCGTATAAAGGCATGACCCGTATAGATGTAGAAGTATGACTCAAATAGAAGCCGATTTTTCGAAGAGCGCCGTGACACAGAAGCGTGATTTGAATAGAAGCATACGTGCAAGTACATGTACCGGGGTATGTGCACACTACATGCATGACAATGTACACTGTACAGTGTAGACTGAAGATGTTGACGTAGAAGCATATTTTGAATAGAAACATAACTCGAACAGAAGCATGGTTTGAACCCCGGCTTATACGACCGTAAGCACCTGCTTTTATACGCGACAGTCGGGTAATGACCTGAGTGACATGCACCAGCCATCCTCACACATCTGCGGCCATGCACCCTCCTAAAAGGGGGGATCAGCTACGCCCCTGGTTGAGGTGCACACCTCACCAGATTGTACTTGTCCCACACTGTCACAGTTCTGCTAAGTCCACTCCCTTGACCACGTTTCACTTCCCTTTGTAAGTTTCGTCCCATCCATCCTTCCAGGAAACTCCCCTGATAAATATCCATTGACTTTTGGAGAGTCCTTCAAATAGCGTATGAATGAAGAAAATGAACGAATGTTCTGATTGCATGAAGCTTTTGACTCTCATTCATCTTGTGTCAGATTTCATTTGACTAAAACAGGAGTGAAGCGAATGTATTGGGTTTTTGGGTAGGCAAGTACTTGCTCGAAGACTTGATGATCCTTCTCACTCAAACACTCTCTCTCTCTCTCACACACACTCTCTCTCTCTCTCTCTCACACACACTCTCTCTCTCTCTCACTCACTATCTCACTCACTCACTCACTCACTCTCTTTCTCTCTCTCTCTCTCTCTCTCTCTCACTCACTCACTCTCTCTCACTCTCTCTCTCTCTCTCTCTCTCTCTCTCTCTCTCTCTCTCTCTCTTCTCATCACTTGCAGCTGTGGCCACAACTGGAGAGCCATCTCCAGGTGCCAACACCCAGCAGCCATCCCAGCCACCCTCACAACAGCCAGCGCAACAGCCCACTAGTACTAGTGCCACCTGCCATCCACTGCCTGCCCAAGACAACAATGGTAGCAAAGAGCAAGACGAGGAAACCACTGTGCTGTTAGCGTTTACACGCGTCTTTAGCGGCACGTTGACGACGGATCGCAAACTGTTTGTTCTTCGCTCTCGCCATGATCCGGATGAGCTCTACCGCGATAGCAACGGAAGTTGTAGTTCAGCCAGAGATGATCCTGAGGCGCATCCGGAGCTGGATGATGATGCTGCCATCGTGGCCTGTCAGCCTCGAGCTCTCTATCTGCTAATGGGCCGTGACCTGGTGGAGATCGACCATGCTCCTGCCGGCTGTGTGGTCGGTATTGCCGGACTTGATCAACAGGTTAGATGCGCTGGAGCTGCTCTGTCACCGTGCATTATGTGTGTGTATGTGTGGTGGTGGTGGGTCTGTCTGTCTGTATGAGTGTGGGCATATGTCTTCCTGTGTAAGAGGAGGTGTGTATACTTGTACATAACATCATAATCCCATTTATTCAGGTACATGTGTAGTACCCAGGTTGGTCCAGGCTTACCTCATCGGGACACTGATCATTGAGTTGTACTCAATCTGTAGATATCTCTGTGCATTATACATGTGTGTGTGTGTGTGTGTGCGTGCGTGCGTGCGTGTATGCATGCATGTGTGTGTGCATGCTCACGTGTGTATATGTATGTGAACAGATCTTGCGCCACGGCACGATTTCGTCGACGACAGCGCTGCCACCGCTCGCCGCCATGGAGTTTCCCACGTCGGCCGTGCTCCGCGTGGCCCTCGAACCCGGCTCGGCCACCATGATGAGCCTGATGCTGCGCGGCCTGCGGCGATTGCGCGCGGCCGACCCGGCCGTGGAGTACTGCATGGAGTCATCGGGAGAGTGCGTACTTAGCACGGCCGGCGAGGTGCACCTCGAGCGTTGCCTGGACGACCTGAAGGCAATCTACGCGCCGGGCTTGCAGGTGTCGGCGTCCGATCCGATCGTGCCGTTCCGTGAGACGGTGGTTCCGGCGCCGGAAGTGGACATGGTCAACGAGAGCATTGACAAGGACGGCGCTGCACGGACGGCGCCGGCACAGACAACCACGACGTCATACGCTGGACAACAGCAGGATGACGGTGACGGTGCCGCCGAGGGTGGCGATGCCGGCGGTGACGTCATCGTCGTGGAGCAGTACACGGCCGACCATTCGGTGGTGCTGCGCGTGCGGGCCTTGCCGCTGCCCGACGACATCACCGCTCACCTGGAGAAGCACGCGCACTTGCTGCGCGCGTTTGCGCTGCTGACGGCAAGTGCCATATCGTCGTCTACGACGACGGAGTCCACCGCTCACCAGCGCGCTAGTCTTAGGAGCGCCACAATCGCGGAGC